TGAGCAAAAGGCTTACTTTACTCATTTTGCCTGTTCCTTAGTGAAGATCTGTTATAATGAACTGCCTGCAAGAACAGGATTAATGCTCAATAAAGCACAAGACCAAATATATTCACATAATGTCAAGTAAAATGAGACATCTCATCTGATTAGAGTTTCTGGGAGATATTGTAATAATCTTGACCTAAGAGGCAAAGCAGCAGTACTGATTTAACACTGAAATAGAAGCACTATTTTCTTTGCTGGATATGATGCACTTTTGCTGTCTCAGAAGTTAAGAAGGAAACATTGCTAAATATAGTTCAACGCAAGAAAGAACTGAAATATACATCCTTAACAAAAATAGAAAATTTGCTTCTTCTGAAATCAGTGGGTATCTTTAATTTTTTTTTTTAATGTTGTTTTTGAAGTGAATCTGGGATAAAAGTTTTTTTTTCTTTTAATTTCTCATTTTCCATTGTTGGAAAGATGGGAAGAAATACACTTTCTTTGAAAGAGGACAAATTCACAGAAAGAAAACTAGGTGGGGATGGTTGGAAAGAAAGATAGATATGCTCTTATATTCATTAACAAAGCCTTTGCAAAGGTGGCAATAGTGGCACACAATTAACTTAGGAAAATGCTAAATAAGAACATATTTGTGGTAGAAATGCAAATTACCTTTGTGGAGGAAACACTAGTTTAATTCTTTGTGTCAACCAACACAAGCGTGTAGGATACAGGAATTCCCCATATGTTCTCCTATTGAACAGAATCTTTTCATAAGGTAAATCTGTTGCAGAAGAGGGCAAAAACCCAACTTCCTTCTCTGCCAAACTATCTCCCTATGGTCCTGCCGAAGGAATCAGAATATTTGCACTGCAGGACATTAGGGTATTATCAGTGTTTTGTGCTATGACTGTGCTGTCCTTGCTGAAATGTAAATAATTGCTTAAAAGACATAGTAAAGTGTCATTTAACAGTTAAAGCCTCTTAAATTATGTTACCTGATCTTTATATACAAACCCTAACAACAGAATCAGATGCAAACCTGATTTCCAAAGGCTGGCTGAAATACAGAACAGCTTGCATTAAGGCAGCAATAAAACAAGCAGCATAAATCAGCTTAGCAGAAAGCTGGATACATTTTTAGAGGATGGAAGGAAAAGTCACTAGCATTACAAAAGAGTTTGAAGATGACATATATGGTCAACTGATTTGTTTTCCTGTTTTGTGGATTCAGGATAAGGCCTCCTTCGGGTTCAATGAAATATTGAGGAAAAAAACAACCATGAATAAATATGAAGTGCATTATCATTATGGAGCATATGGTGTGCTAAATTATCTGTTGTGCCCTCAGAAATAAATGCAATCCATAAAATAAACATTTGTGACATAAAATAAAGGCTAAGATTTTCATAATACTCTAGCACACGAAATGAAGGTGTCTGAAGTCCTTAGGATAGACTTACTTTCATTGAGCAGTACTCAAAGCAGTACCCATGCCTCAGTCTTGCAAAGAATATGAGGAGACATTGTCAATGCCTTTATCTATGAAAGACTGAGCCAAACTGAAGTTATAATTTCAACCTCTGCAAAATCTGGGTATGCGTGTGTAGTAAGATGCTTTGGTACCCCACAAGATAACTAAGAGGCTTCTGATATTACTGAAACAATTGCAATCGAAACCTGATCTAGCTCTACTTACTGTAGAAGGGTAGCTGGGAATGTCCTATTTGATATGCAGCATTCCACAGTTAAGCCATTACCAAAAACTCAGAGATCTTGTCTATTCAGAAAGCAATCAGTGGAAACTTGGTTCCCAACATTATTCTTCTATTTGCCTTCAAACCAATGATCTTGCTTTCAGAATTTCACCCACAGCCTGGCAAGGTCCAAATAAAGCCCTCTAAAGTGCAAGATAGATATTCTGTGGAAGTGGATAGCTAATGATAACTCTCTTTGGAAATTATTGAAAAGTGAGAGAAAAAAACTCTCATTAATAAAGGAAAAGGAATGAAACACAAGTAACATAATTTAAAAAGATATTGATAACATAAATAAGCATCCCATTCAAGAGCAGCCTTTTTCAATCTACCAGAGAAAAGGGTACAGAGAAGAAAGCTATAATGCATGATGCTAGGATGGGAAGAAAGACATACCAGATGTGAAGGATTGATTCTCCCCTACCAGGGAAAAGCCATAACACCAACTGCAGCAATCCTCTGTAATGCATAATGGACAAGTATTCACCCTGGTCATCCTGTCCAGCCCTAAATTCATTGCTCAGGTGGGGCACTGGAATTGTCAAAACCAAATTTTTTTTGTGTGTAAGGACAGATTAATGCAAGTCATTCAGTATAGGAAATGTACTATTTTACTATTAATTTAATACTCTCTGTGTCACAGAATAACAGATAACTTCCCTTTGTACTCTTAAAATTGGAGGAAAAGCAGAAGAGTTCTGGTAAAGAAGGTCAGACAAGCATACTTAATCTTTGTTCACAAAGAAATGAGATACATTAAATATATTGTGATATTCTGTGTATGTTTCTACAACTTGTACATTCTAGTTAAAATTGTCATTATGCTAAGTAGCATTTCAGCTTGGATGTCTGCTGGGGAAGCAACATGGTGGGCTGCAACCAATCCAGGAGACTCCTGGAGTCTGCTGAGGACAACTTCCTGGTCCAGGTATTGGACAGAGCAACCTGAGGTGGAGCATTACCGGATCTGGTGCTCACCAGTGCTGAGAAGATCATTAAAAGCACTCATCCATATCCTGGATGAGTTCCTGATCTGAAAGAATATGGACCTGGCAAAGCGCAGACAGGATCCAGAGCTTCAGGAGAGCAAGATTCTGGCTGTTTATGGAATTACTGGATGGGATCCTCAGGCAGAGGAGGCATGACTCTGACATGGCTGAGCTAGGATCTGCTAGCCAGAAGAAATAGGCGAAGGACAGTTTATCCCATCTGATAAATGAGAAGGGAGAAATGACAACTACAGACACAAAGAAGATTGAGGTACTCAATAAGTGCCAGTCTTCACTGGCAGTCAGATCTGCCGTCTCTCACATCTCTGAACCTCTAGGTGGGGGTTGGGGATGCAATGCCCCTCCCACTGTAAGAGCAGGGCAAGTCTGAAACCATCTCACAAGGCCAAATGTGTACAAGTCTGTGGAGCAGGATGACATGCATCCTAGGGTCCTGAAGGAACTGGCTGACGTGCTTGCCATGTTATTCCACCATATTTTAAAAATTATGGCTGTGACTGGAAAAAGGAAAACATTACTCCCATATTTAAGAAGAGGAGAAAGGAAGACCTGATCACTACAGACCAGTGAGCCTCACATCTGTGCCTGGGAAGATCATGGAGCAGATACTCCTGGTAGCTATGGTAAGACATATGTCAGATGAAGAAGTGATCCAAGGCAGCCAGTATGGCTTCACCAAGGGCAGATCTTGCCTAAGCAATCTTGTGATCTTCTGTGATGGAGTGACAACACTGGTGGACAAAGGAAGAGCAGCTGGTGTTATCTTCCTGGACCTTTGACATGGTCATACACTACATCCTTATCTCTAAATTGGAGAGATACGGATTTGAAAGGTGGACTATTCTGATAAATTTGTTGGATGGTCATAGCCAGTGTGTTGTGGACAGTGTCTCTATGTGCAAGTGGAGGCTGGTCACAAGTGATGTCCCCAAGGAGATATACTTCAGAGCAATATTCTTTAACATCCTTCTCAATGACATAGACAGTGAGCTCAAGTATACCCTCATTCTCAATGACATAGACCATGAGTTCAAGTATACCCTCAGCAAGTTTGCTAATGACACCAAGCTGAACAGTGCAGCTGATACAATAGAAAGGAAGGATGCCATCAAGAGGGACCTGGACACGCTTGAAAAGTGGGCCCACGAGAACCTAATGATGTCCAACAAGGTCAAGTGCAAGATGTTGCACTTGGCTCAGGGCAATCCTCAATCTTCTCCCAATCTACAGACGGGGATGCTTTAATATGCTATGTGCTATTTTCTTTGAGGACTTTACTCATTAAATCATGTCCCCATGACGGCTTTGCCAGCATTTTACAATTTTTTTTAGAATGTCATTTATATTAGTGTGCTAAATTAACTAGGAAAATTAGCATTAGAATAAAATCAGGAGGAAGAAGAATAATACAAGTACATCTAGTGTCACTGGGGGAGCTACATGCAGGCTTGAAGAAGTGGTGTAGCCCTAGAGGAAGATCATGTGCATTTTTTTTTTTTTTTTAATTGTCTTTGAGCAATTGTCTTCTTGTATCACTTTAATCAGCACTGGGATAACATATGATTAGTGGACTAAAGAAAATTCCTGGTAAGGAGACTTGGCATAGCAGCTTATACTTGCAGTCAGGCTGAGAGAAGTGATCTGCAAACAGCATGGTACTAAAACTACAGTTTAGCACTGCCTCCTTTACACATTTTTACAGACTTGAAATCCCCTTAAAAGATAAAGTCAGCACTCAACAATATGAGCACGTCCTGTGCTGAAAGACTGTGCCATCATCTCGCTAGGCCTAGGAGATGAATGTTATTTTTGTCATATCCTTGAACAAGGAGAAGACCGTATTACAAATATAGCTGGAAGGAGTGTTGGTAGCTTAGAAGGATCAGCCTTACTGCAGAGACATGCAAAAACAACTAGTGCCAATTTAGATCCAGGCTGAAAGAACTAGAAAAATATAGCCCTGTAGTCTAAATAAATATGTCTAATAAAAAATACTTAAAAAATCTCTTCCTTCTTCCCTACCTTCCTAAAACTGCTGTTTCTCCCATGGCCATGCTTGACAACACTACCAATTGTCAAAACAATGCAAAGAATGAACAGAGTTAGGTTCTAATGAGATATCATAGTTGCAGGACGGAAAGAACTTGGACTGCAAGCTCCCATTTCACCTTGCCTTCTTAAAAAATTTCTGTCATGAGCCCCAGCATTGCAGGAATGCATAGACTCCTGCCAGCTACAGAAATCCTCAGCCAAAAAGCTTCAAGAAACATGGCCTGGGCTGGTGCAGCACACACGCACCTGATCCAAATGCTTGCTTGTGTTGGGCTTTCCTGAAATCCTCTTGGCGTTCTGCAGAGCTTATCCACTCCTGGGTTTGCCGCTGCCACTCTAGTGATGTCCTAGCTTGCCGGTCCAAGGAGCTCTTTGTGTCATCTACGCTGGGTGCATGCTGCCTCTCAAGAGAGCTTCCTTTCCTCTCTGCCGAGCCTCCGCGCTGGCCCGGGCCTATTTGCTGCCTTAAACCCTGACCAGGCGGTGGGTCAGGTGGTGGTGGAAGATCTAAAAAATGTGAATAAGATTTAGATGAACTAATTTTTAGTTGAAACAGAGCTTCCATTTGATGCTGAAAAGAAACAAACAATAACAACGTCCCTCACAAATGGCTTGAATCACTTTATCTGCTGATTTTAAAAAGAGGAAATTTCTTGTTAATCAGAAATTACTTTCCAATAGATTTCTAACTCAAGTTACTGTATTGCTAGTTCTTCCTAACTTCCATAACAATCAATAGACTCACTGCAAGTCCTGATTTACATTTCTAAGCATGGGATTTATTTTCCACAAGGTACACTCCATCTGCCTCTTTCAGTAACAGTGAACAATTAAGAAAGACTATGAAAATCAGATCTATGTTGACAGAGTAATTCTCGCCCATCATATTGGGGCTTGCTTCATCACTCCTATTTTTTGGGCTTCATTTTCAGTTTGAGGCTTACACACATCGTCTAAATACATGATTTTATCAAAATGTATAAAATTCCACAGTATCTTGGGAAAAAAAAATTATTCACAAAAGTACTGTCACTGAAAAAGCATCAATACATCTATGGAAAATGTGTGTTAAAATGGAATCACAAAGCAATGGGTGAACATTTTCTTCAAATACATTTTCAGTGTTCTCTCAAAACCTGTAGTCTTCACAGACACCAGGATGGCTACTCTTAAGGTTAGCAGTCTTGCAAATATAACCGATCAACATGTAATTTCACATCAGTGCTGAAAGACACTTGCCTGATCCCTCTATCCACTCTGATTCTTTTCAAGTTTATGGCTTGTGCTACTATGATGCTTGTAGAATTGATGGTAAAACTTCTAATCACAGTTGTGAGGGTACTTTTTGTTATTCAGTTTGTTACCGAAGATAATTATAGAACCTGAATAATGACAATTCTAACTGTAAGATTTCATGTGAACCATATGATTGACTAGTAAGAATCAAGAAAATTCTTACATTCTTAAAAAGAATCAAAATAGAGACAAAAGTACTTTAAATATTCTTCCATATAGACTACTTGTTTTATACTTAGAAAACTTGTTTAATTCCGGCTTTGGGCAAAGCACTACCCAAATAAATTCATGCTACCCTACCAACTTCACTAAATCTATATTAGTCTACACTAGATATGGCTATACCCACTTTCTGGCATTTTGTACATTATGTGAAGGTTCATCAAGGAATTTGAAAAGCATGGAAGAGTAAATCTCTCCTTTGCCCGCAGGAAGGTCTGATTTTCTTAATCCTAGTGAGACTTAAACTCATTTTATATATTGCTGAGGAGGCCTTTGGATTTAATTTATTTGAAGCCTGTATTTCAGCTTCACATGAAGCTTCACATCCTTGCTGCTAGAGTTGATACTTCTGTCTCTTATATATGGGGCATAAATACTTCCCAAGTTGCTAAGACGTTGTTCCAAACCAAAATTGTCTCCTAATGCTAAATGCAGATGTGTGAGATACTCGTGTCTAATAGGGAAAGAAGTTGTATCTGACGTTGCTTCTATACTTTTGCTCATAGCTAAAGTGCTATATTCCAAATTAAGATATCTATCTTCTGGATAGAACAGTTTAATAATAATCTGTCAATGAGCTTGATGTGTGCTTTATGTTCAGCACTAATTTATTTGAGAAATTTTTAGTTATGAATATAGATGTGACCTTTCATGACAGTGGCAATACTTGAGTTACTGTATGTGGAAGCAGGAGGGTATGGGAGCTTGCCAATGTTAAAATTGCTTTATAGTGTTGGCTTCCAAAACGACATTTCTTATAATTGATTTTATTACAATCATAACCAGTTAATGTACAGAACCACAACACTGGCATCTGCTTATGCAATCTGAAATAGTTATTACTGAAGTTGTGATTTATAAGCACTTTATGAAGATGCACTGAATCCAATAAATGCACTCATAACATGTCATCTGACAATGCTATTTTCCAAGATAAAATATTTAGTTTAATATAAACAAAAATTTTAAGAAGTAGTACCACAGAAAAAAAATATTAAAATGATTGCAATATTATACTCCTAAGATACAGAACACTTCTTCATAAATTGCTGTCTAAGAGTTGTTATTAATCAGATATCAAGAAGGTAAAAACGTCTTGTACTTAAACTGTCCTGCATGTTCCAGAGCTAGCTGAAACTCCTGGAATTATAGTAGACTTATTTTATTGGTCTGCTGTTAACCTGGATTTTGCTTTTAAATATTAGTAAAATGGGCAGGATAATTGCCTGATGAATAGAAGAGAAATCAAAAAACATGTTTGTAAAGCTTTTTGGGTGTTTTAGACCTCTGGATGAGCTAGCTGAAATGAAAAATAAAAATTATTTTCTGATGAAGCTTCACACAATTCTAGAAGAATTACAGGTACTACAGAATTAATGCAAGCTGGCTCTAGCCTGAGTACATACTTACTGAACTGTGCTAAATATGCTTGAGAAGATCTGACTATATCATTGGCTTTTTCACTTTTTTACTCCGGTTGATTGTCACAGTAACACCTACCCTTCATTTTTAATATAAAAAGGTGGAAGAGAGCTTCATTTGGCAATGTGGCTTTCTATTTACTCCACAGCTCAAGTTCTCTACTGCAAATCTTCTGCTTTAAGTAAAGTTACTAAATACGCTGTTATTTTGTTGGGGCATATATATAAAGACTCCATATATTTGGAGTCATGAGTTTCCTCCTCCAGTGTCACAGTCTTGTCTTTCCCCATCTCTTCTTTCCCTTCTCAGTCTAAGATGTCTCTAAGCAACTGTGCACGCATCCCTGCATACACTTGTACATATGTACCTACATGGTGGCTAATGGTTGGGAATTTGAATGCTGGTAAAAGGTAACAGATCAGATGACTCAGTTCTTTCAGTCCCTAACAAGCAGACTTGTTACCACACAGAGGGAAGCCAACTCATTCCATAATGTCCGTTACTCAAGGGAAGATTTGAATGTAGATAATTAGGGACTTCAGGAGGATTTTCAGTGAAAGCACACATAATAATGTTACTGATTGTCACTGCGCTTCCATCTACATTACATTTATCTTCCAAGTGCCACGTAAAACACCTGAAAATCCATACTGAGCTAGTAACTTCCTATGCTATGGGATGCCATCCAAACTACCACTTGCAGCCTCTAATGGCAAGCTTATCAAACTTGCAAGGCTATTTATAAGTGTATTGAGAGGTAGGTGATGGTCTTACTGATTTAATAATAGAGAAATTGTGATTGAGAAGCTGTAGGACATCAGAAAGCCTTATCAGATGCAGATGCATGCTTCACTTGGGATTACTCCAGCCTTCCTTTAGCAAGCAGAGCACTGGCCAAATGACTGTAAGCTTGGGCACAGCTTCTCACTATTAGCTAGAAAAGTTAAAGAACCAAGAAGTATAAGGACACCTCTTTCTAACTGTGCTAGTCATTTGTTTTCCTAGGGGCGATATTTACATTTAATAAGACTCTGAACCGTTTTATTGTACCAGATGGTAAGCATCTTTGCTACAGCCTGCCTTAATAAAAATTGCATATTAACAAGAGACTTGGAAAGCTAACAGTCTTAAGTCACATTTCTCTATTTTAACCACCAGCCATGCTTCCTCTCTAATTTCTCTTTGTTCTTTTAAACCTCATGCTCAAACAAGGAAGAACTTTCACCTTCAGTTATTCAGTTACTGTGTAATTGAATGTATGGCAAATTCCATTATTTTGTACTTTGTGAATACATTGATTTCAAGAAAATAAATTATTCCTTGAGCACTAGAGCTAAAAGCATCTCATTAGTTTTGTTTGTTTGTTTGTTTGTTTTTAAGATTTTCCATTATTGACAGATTCGTAAGGTATTTTTCCTTTCTCTCCACAGTCTTTTAGGATGGGAAAGTTGAAAAACAAGCTGTACAGGAGGACAAATAGGATAATTCAATGTAGAGTCAGTCCAGAGGATTTGGACCTGAAACTGCAGATTGTATCTACATATTCAGTTATCATTTTTAATTTCTGGACACTGGAAATTCTTCAGTGTAGTCTGTTTTCATACATACAAGTGGCAGCAGCAATCTTTGTTCCTTAATTGACAAATGTCCTTTGCAAATTTAGCTATGACTCAGACTTGCCCTTACGCTTTAATGACTCATATTCAGCAACACTTGAAATGGAAAAAGTGTACAATTTGTGTTTATTTGTTTCTGTTGTGAGAGGGAATGGGAAAGGATCCTGTATGACTTCAGAGCACTGTAAATTTTTGGAACACATAGTAAGCATTTAAGCTAGGTTTGTAACAGGCAAATGTTAACAGTGTCCAGAAGTTGTTACTGCCTATGCTTGAGAGGTTGATTGTTTAAGAACATGGTATAAAATTGGTGTTCTGACTCAAATATACTAAAGAAACTCCACTAAAATTAGTGTTTTATAACAAATAATCAAAGACCATAGGAGATTCCTCTTCTTAAATAAATCTTAAAATCTGATCTCTTTCACTAATTTAAAGCAATGTCAGATTTTATGATGGAGTCACTCCCTGAGGAGTCACACTTCTATTTGCCTCATGACCTAAACTGGATTCCCATCAATCTTCCGGTAACCATGTTATTATTACACACTTCTATAGTAACAGTATTCTAAAGAAGTGAGATTAAGGTCCCACAACACTTAATACATTACAAACACACATGTACATATAGTTCATGGTGACAAAATATAAGCTACGCTGAAGGGTTAAATTAATGCATGCACAGAAAGGGGATTGCCAGCACAATTGTGCAATTGACACAATTTCCAATTCCTACTCTCATAACACATCTATTTAACAGATCTGTGTAGCAGTGAGGCCTCTGGAATATATCCAGAAGTGGATAGCATTAATGTTTAAACCAAGTCAAAGCCACATGAGTGGGGTCTAAGCTATTTTGAGTTCTTTCCTCAAACAATATGGTAGTGAGGGTGAATCACAGAGTATGAGCTATAACAGTAACACTTCTGGTGAAGATTTTCACTTCTGGAATCTGTTCTCCACTTTTACAAACTGACAAACAGGGAATCTGACAGAACATGCTGCAAAATTGTATCTGTACATTTGATGAACATGACTGAGAGGAGAGCTGTAGTGTTTTTAGTGGCTCCAGTCCAGCTTGCATGCTGTTAATGTATTTTTAAATATACCTAGAGTAATAAATAGCACATTATAAATAAACAAACTAAATACATGCTCTACCAAATCTATTTTCAACATGCTGCCTGATAAAAGAAGATGATGAAAGGATTCTCAACTGATTTTTACTAGAATACAGAGGACATTTATACCAAAGTGATTTTTTTACTCCTTCCCCATATACTCAAAGATTTGTCAATGTGTACTAAAAATTAGGAGACTGACATGACTGGCACTGGCATGACTCCTGCTCCCAGTGTTCAGACAGTGCCATTCTGAGGGCTACGAAAATAGGTGGGACAGTCAAGCTCTCAGAACTGCCCTGCCCTGAACACTGCAAGGCGGGTCAGCATGAGGAAAGTGACCAGATACCCATCTGCACTGCATTACAGTAATCCTTGGTGGCTCCTTTAACACCGTTTTTCCATTCGCCTCCTTCTCCTCACTGAAAATTTCAACAGTTAAAGTGGCTAGTAAGATTAGAAGAGAAGAGAGAGGAGATAGCAAGCTGCCCACCTTTATAGTCAGACCTCAAGGAGTAACAGGTAACAAAGGCATTTTTTGCCAAACTCAAGATGGGATAGAGAAAGATAATGGAAAGTTGAACTGATTTTAGTGATTGGAAAAGCAGAACGGATACCCTTGAAATTTCTAGATGGGAACTGGTGGTAAAAGGGAACTGGAGATGTTGAAGTGACAAACAAAGTCACTGAGGTCACTGAATTTCAGGGATGAAGCAGTACAGACAAGATGTGAGGCAGAGCCTTGAGAAAAGCATGGCACGTACTTCTATAGCTGTTGCACAGCTGTCAAAACCAGCAGAAAACAAAGAGAGCACTGTGGCACTGGCTGCATGATTCTTCTTAGAAATTCACTATATGCTGGTGGTGGCTACTTAGAAATGAAATTACCCAAGGGTCACGTTTTAATGCCAACCCATGTTCAATGCCGTCATTTCTTCTTAAGATTTATACTGAGACCTGAGAGCTGATTTGTTTAGAGCTGACTTGTTTAGAGCTGAAAGGAAGAAAGGCTCCTTGAAGAATCACTTAACCAAGCTCCACACCGCTAGTGTTGCAATACCGCTGACGTACCTGGGGACCCTACTTCACCAAACAAGTAACTCACTGTAACAGACATTCCTTAAAAGACTGCTTTACGGCCTCCCATTCTGCACAGCTGCGTGCTGTAGCTCATCACCAGGGCCTCCCACCGCCACACTTACCGTCTGTTATTCCCTCCCTACGATGAGGCAAGGGGGGTTGGTCCAACCGGCCTCCCTTGTGTTTTTTAGTGGGCCTCGGCCTCTGACTCTGAGTGACAGCTGCACTGGTGTTGCTGTCAGTAGAAAAAGGACTGCTTGGCCGAGGTCTCTGAGAGGAAGGATATGCTTTGCCTAGAAAAAGAGAAACCAGATGACAAAAATATTATTGACTTGAAATGGCCCATTCTGTTAATGTAAATTCTGAAATATTAAATCTGGTCTAACTCTCAGAGGCAAGCAAGTGTCCCCATGAGATACCTGCTGATGTCAATTGCTTAAGTTACACCACAGTAAGAAAAGTGAGAAACTTGGCAATCCTTTGTCTTTACTTTTATAATTAAAGTTGCTCCATCTGTTGTGCTAAAACCGCTGCACACCATGTAACTCCTACCTGCTTGGTGTTCAGAACAGATGTATCATAACAACTCCTCAGCCCTCAGCAGTGAAGGAAAACACTTCTTCAATCATATCAAATTTATCTCCTCCTGCCTTCCACCTTCACATTTGCTGAGCCAGATTCTCATCTTAGTGACTCCCATAAGCACTGTATATCTGGAGTAACTCCAGTGAGATAAAGATAACTGCTTTTGCAAGCTATGTAGCAGTGCAGGTTTGTATACTTCAGGGCTCTCTTCTCTTAAGAAATTAAAAAAGGAATTTAAATCGTACTGTTTTCCTATTTATTTTCATTATTTTATGTGTTCAAAAATTATTTATTCTGAATGAATTCATTCCCTGTTTTTTTTTGTTTGTTTGTTTTTTGTTTGTTTGTTTGTTTGTTTGTTTGTTTTAATATATAGACTAATGGAGCTAAATACTTTCTCTTTTTTGATATCTTTGATGCTGTTCTTTGAAGCAGATCATGAAAAGTATCATGGCAGGAACCCCATGAGTATAGTTCATTTACTCCATTCACTTATTTTTTTCATGTTTTTATTCAGTTAATTAGGCTTGTTTCTTATTTAATAATGTTTGAAGAAAACTAAACATCACTGTCTTTTTTTTTTTTTTCTCTGCACATGATCCTTATCAAGTATGCTAATGGTGGATTATCAAGGATGTTAATGCTTTAATTTGTTTAGAACTTGCTTAAAATTATTACTTTGTTTAATCTTCTCTGCAGTGCAAGATTTGTAAGCCAGTCAGAACTTCTCTTTCAGTCCAATTGTAGACCCATATGCTTTAAGAGTTGATGGAAAGTGACAAAATAGCTGTTTGATATTTTTCTGGTCTAGGTTAATATGAGGCTGAATTATCTTCTGGTTAACTAGATCATGGTCTCTTGTGATTTATGTTTTTTAGTAAAACCCCTGGAAGAGCCAAAATTCTAGTGCATAAGTGCCACACTTCGTGCATCATAATATATGTCCTTACTTCTAGCATGACACCACATACAATAGGATCTAGATTAACCTAATCAGAAGTAAACTGCTATCTACTGCACTATTTAAAATATATTTTGTGCAAAAAGAGGGCAAAGTGGAAAAAAGTAGCTATAATCACTCTAACATACTACTTAGCATTAAAATGCTTATGTTATAATAACATCTAACTATTGGCTTTCTGATTTTTCCCGACTATCTAAGGCTTGATCTTTTATTTTCAGACTGATGTGCACCCTGAGGAGGACCACTGTCTTAGGCTATGTTGCCTCCCAGCTTTGTGTCCCTGTCAGCTATTGGAGGTTACCATATTTGAACCATTTGTGTGGGCATTCCCTAACTCTCCTCTGGCAAAGAAAGCCAAATTGAACTTAAAGAGTATGAACAGTATGCCTTTGCTAGCCTGATGCATTTAAACTGAAATGGGGAGTTGAATGCCCACCCAAGCAGCTAACTCTGAAGATGGGAGGAAGCAGTAATAAGCATTTGGGTGAAGGCTGAAAACATTAACCTCTTATAGCTGGCACAGCTGCAGCCAGACAAAGACAAGTGATCAAGCCCTTGTTTCATAGATAAGGATAAAACAGCAAATGAACACAGACAAAATATTACATATCTTGTTTAAAAATAAAAAGAAAAAGGCCACTAGTGCAAAGAAATTCAGATGTGAGACTGAAATTCTATCCTAGCTCACACAGCACAGATGTACTGTAAAAATAAACTTGCAACATGCAAGCACAACTAGTGAGTGCAAGATGAAGAACCTTCATGCTTACTCTCTTGAGTAAAGAAATGTGATCATGAATTCAGAAAGCTGATTTGAAAAAAAAAAATATATATATATATATACACTAAAAATTCTCTCCTTTATCCCCTCATGAAAATGAAGGAAAATAAATAGCACTGACCTAAATCAGACATGGGGCAAATACAAATGACATGTAGGCTCCCAAAACACATCTTTCAATGCACCTAATATCTGATTACAGCATGTTATTTTTTTATGCAGCCTTTCCAGGAAGAACTGCTGAGCAGTGTCAGACTCTATAGTAGATTTAGTGTGTGCAAATGGAGACAAGGATGAATCCAGTAATTCATGATTTAATTTCCCATGGGTGTTAAAAAGGAAAACTGGCTGAACTACATGACAAATCACACAATGGTTTCTGGAAAATGGAATCAAAGTGTCTTGCAGGAGAGACATCTTGTGTCTGGATTTACCAGTGCCTCTTATGCCTGACAATCAAAACACATCCATGTGAAGCTATGAAGTTGGTCTTCTCATTTCACATCAATAAGAATATTTTATAGCTGTTCTGAGTGGGAGAAAATAACTGTCCAAAGGAGTAAAGAGTCAGGACCTTAGATTTCCTCCAGAGCAATGAACAGAAATAATACTGCTGCTTCTCCACTGGAAAATGCCATTTTGCAATAAGATGGATTTACTGCGGTACAGCAGATCCATAATAGGCTGGTCTGATTGATCAGACTATCCTGGGAGGTATCATATCATAAGGAAACTACAGTAAGCATTGCAGAGCTGTTTCCACTTGCTGATATTTTGGTGGGGGAAAAATGGGAGGCTGTTTACATGTGCTTTTTGATTCAGCTTTTTCTCTGGATCATTAAGAGAATAAAAAGGCAATAAGAAGATAACCACAGTATTGGATACTCTTCTATAACCTTAACTCTAATAGTCTACCCAAGGAATTACGTGTAAGTGCTCAGTTTAAGTGCATATGTGACCTAATTAAGCTAGGAAAATACAACTGACAAGGGAGTTCTCATCCTGTTCTTTTATACTGCTGCAGTAAGGAATCATATTTAAAAGTGTCTGCATGTTTGAACTCCTTTGTGCATGTATGGTGGAAACTACTTCTCAGTCGACCTAATACAAGTTGCTTTTGTCAACTGAAGCCATGAAAAACACAAAAATGAAAAGGTTAGGAAGGATTTGTGTCTTTCATTCAGGTCAGTTCAAGCAAAACTGTTTATTTTAAGAAAGTAATAGTTTGGCCAAATTTGCTAAATAAGAAGAAGCAAATGAGACTTTTAACTATTTTTAACAGTGAAATAACTGTCTTTTAAGGATGATTACATCTAACCAAAGTCAAAGGTCTCGATGACTTGAAAAAGGCTGGAATTTCACCCTGTGATTTGTTGTTGGCATAGGACTTTACTGCAGATTCTTTTCTTCATTCCTAAAAGGTAGTATTTCTCATGAAATCACGGAGTATAGAAAGCTGGCAGTTACCATTCCTAACATTTGGAGACATTTATCAAGAATGCAAGCATTTTAGCAAAGGATAAATTTTCTACAAAAATGATGATAAAAATTTTTAAATGATAGGAATATTATGGGAAATGTGTGCAGGAACAGGAGAAGAAAGCATAATAAAAAATAGGAACCCGAATGAATACTTTGATATTATGTTGTGTGGATTTAAATAATTAGGTGTTTTTTTTTTTTTTTTTTTTTAATTTTAATATGACTGAGCAAATGCAAATACATTCTTTGTTCAGAATATTTAAAAGGAAGTTCTGCTTATCTTTTTGTGTTGTTGTTAAAAATTAAACATAAGGAGCTTTACAATTAAGAACTAAATTATATTTACTTTTCATTCATTTATTCTAGTTGATAAGACTGGTTGTTTTCAAAGGCAGTAGTCACTTTACCTGTATTAAATTTCACTTGGCTAATTCTGATGGCATAATTAAAATTAAACTTAATCAAAATTTAATGATTTATTGAATTAAATACTGTTAACATCAGCTGATTAAAAAGACTTTTAAACATTTCATATCATTTATAATCAAATTGTAGCATTCCACCCCCATGCTTAGAAAAACTTCATAGAAAAATACATTTTTGCAAGAAGAGATGCAACAGAGGAGCAGGGATGGAGATAACAGTTTAAACATGACTTTCATCATTGGAAATGTAAATGATAGTGAGGAGATGTTGCAGGAATAAAATCATCAAAGACAATTCAAAGGCAGAATTAGTGATCTCTTAACCAAAATATTAAACAGAGCACATGTCAGTAAATCCATAGCAGAGTCAGCATAAAGAGAAACTGCAGAAGATTGAAAGTGCTGATTAAAAGCTTGCAGTATTCACTACTTCAAATCACTAAAAATGAAACATAACGTAAGTTTTTATTTTAAATATACTGGTAAAAATATCTCCATCCACCTTACTCCATGCATGTTAGAAAAATGTCAAGTGAGACACAGGTTCACTGAAAAGAAGAACAGGCAGAGACACCCTTCATGCAGAAAGCATTAACTTTGAGTCTACAAACCTGTTCTTGTCAGGCTGGTTCCATCCAGCCTAAAACCAGCTTTATCTGCTGCTGCAACCAGAGCTTGTGCAAAACTGCCGCTGGTAAAGATCGAGTCATCTGAGGAGCTACCTACACTAGATCTATGACTAGAAAAGTTACGGTCCTCATCAGACGCAGAACCCCATCCATTTACCATTGAACCTAAAAACAAATGTAGGGGTCTAGTGAGTTGTACATGTTTGAGATTTTTTTGATCATCTAAATCTTAAAGACCCACTTAATATATTCTTTCTCCACAGAAAACCCAAAGGGTGGCTAACAGAGCTTGATATAAAAGAGCACTATAAAAGCTAACTGGGATCTCATTCATAGTTTGCATTGTGTAACTGTCACTTTGTAAACCAAATAATACATATCCTCTACACACATATAGATGCCATAATAAATTATTTTGAATGTTAAAAGATTTTTCCCGGGATTGAAAGTAATGTGATTTTTTTAAATTATTATTTTTATTATAAAGCAATATCTAGTTTCATTTTTGCAAAAAGTCTTACTTTAAGACAGCACAAGTCTAAATATCAGCAGGTATGGCTGAAGTCAGACCTGGGCTTCAAGAACATTCTGGAACAAGATGGGCATTATGCCATTTTCTCAATCAAAACTTTAAAATAGATGAGCAATCTTAATGGCCCAAACAAAACTGATGGAAAGCAATCCATTTTACAGGATTGATTTTTCTTTTTTAAAAGGTTAGAAACAGACATTCAAGAGCAGAGCAAACACATTCTTGAATACTGAATCACATAGGAAGCCAGTGCAGACCTTACCATACCCTAGCTACAGATTACCACCACTGCAGGAGAGGAAAGCAATAATAACATCAAAAAAAGGAGCCAGGAAAAAAAAAAAAAAAATATATATATATATATATATATAAGAAAAAAAAACATGACAAGAATGTAGAAATCTTGACATAATTAAAACACGAAGAACAAAATACTAAGAGTAGGATTCATATTTTCCACTCTTCATTTATGTTTTCTTTTACTTTTTTTTCACTGCAGAAAGAACTGATCAACTACCTAATATGGCAATGCAACATATATTTTCCAAAGCTATCAATGAGTTTGGATTATTTCAAAGTATCAAAATTCAGTGATTACAGATGGAGTTGATAGTGCTCTGTATTTCTTAAAATCATCATAAATGGTTAATGTATAGTTCTACAATGTCCAGTGGAGCACGAGGCAAAGAATACTCAGCTACCACCAAATACCTAGCTTCGCTCCAGGAATAGAACAGACATATTAATGTGTTACGAACTCTAGCTAAAGTGCAGAATTACCAGAATGCTGCTGGGACCTGAATTACTGCATGGCATTGTGTGGCACCATGTAGACATAGCATATTGTTCTGAGACAGCAAAGTTGTCTCTTCATCTTAAAATATCTGAAGGTTGCTTTTTAAAAAGTGGCATATTGAGAAAAGTACCAATGGACAAATGAAGATCTGTTCTCCAAGATATGACAACACTTGTGGAGAGATAAATCATGGACCTGACTTAACAATTTCTTTAGCACAGGTGAATTTATGTCAATATACCTAAGATGAACAGCGGTATCAGTATGTTCTTCAAAGCTTTTTTTAAGAGTTGTCCAGGAAAGTATTATTTTGTTAATTAATTATTAAATCAAAACTGATTTGCTTATGCTGCATTACAAAGCCTAAGAACAATGGATTATTTTGTGATGCTGCAGTGACTGAATCCTTTGATGTCAACAAAGTGGCAGGCTATAATAACAGAAGTCCATGCACTCCTAAGATACAAAAAAAAAAAAAAAAGAAACTGAAGAGGTCTATGGAGGTCTGACAGGCAGAAAGTGTGTTAAGTGCAACAAAGAGTGACAGAGTTAGATTCTGCTTGCCAAGAGCACACACACAATTGTTATTTTCCAAACAGACTTGACCTGATGCAGACAGATGTAGGAAAAGCTAGACAGCACAAGAGAAGGCTGAAGCTGAATTTCCTTGAGAAGAGGAACAAACTGAACTAACAATCAAAATGTGATGGGACATCAGAGAGAATGAAGAGCAAAGTCTTAGCAACAGTTATTGCTGCATGCGAACAGTATGAAAAGAGATACTAGAGATAAAACACTTCATGAAGATGTAAGAGAATGAAATGCTACAGCTGAGAACATTTTCAAACAATTGCTAATCAGCACATTCCGCAAAATATGTAAGCAGAAGCTGAAACATAAAAATATAACTAGATTCATAGATATCAAAAGAAGATATTCAGGTGCTGAAAATTTATGATGTATATTGTTAGTTCCATGGCCCAAGTATTTTATACATTCTGCTCTGTATGTAGATACATGAAAATATATATTGAATAGGATATGTAGGAACGTACATAGGTTTTCTATATCTGTAGACAAAACAATGGATCTTTTCAATGAAATTAAGTTTGAATTTTCATTTGCTTATGTTGCTATGCCCATCTGGTAACTGCTTACAAGTTACACAGCATGTAATAAACATGATTGTTTGGCTGGAATACTTTTGGGGTGTATCTAGGAGCAGTTGCTATATTCCATCTGCTCTTAGAAGGATTTAATCTAGTTTTAAAAAAATCTACATTTGAAAAGTGCAATAGACTAAAAATCTGTACAAGTTTATAACGCTCTCTCCAGTGAGTGTTTATACACTTACCCCTCTACACAACACATAGCCATGTCAGATTTTCTTAACAACACCTACCTATCAATGATCAGTGAAGCACTGCTATCAGACTCCCAGTTTTTCAGGCAACCCTCTGAGGGATCTGGTCCTGACCTCCTGACCTCTGAAGGACAGCAAACACCAGCTAGGCTACGAACAGGTGCCCTGCCAGTGGGTTGAACACAGCAGTTCAGTCCTTGCATGGACATGAGCTGGGGGAGGACATCAACACAGCTAACAATTAAAGCAAACAACGATGTTACTTCTGGTTAGTGGACTGTAAGCTGAAGAAAAGCTCTTCAAAACTGCTGAAATCAGCAAGCTAACCATAAAATCTCCACATTTTTTCCACTGGTTCCTGAGCTATCAAATTTCCCTATTTGTTCTCTTTTCCCAGCAGCATTCTGTCTTTGTCCTCCAGAAGCACAGACATGGCCCAATGGACACAAGCCCTGCTTCAGCCCAGGCCAGGCCCCTCATACCTCTATGCAGCTGCCTTCATATTGTGTGTGCAAGGGGAAGCCTTCCCTAATGGCATCTACCAGACTCTTGATTTCCCCAATCAGGCACACTTTTGTTTCTCTCTGAATAAAGGCAGCATAAGAGATGCTGACACTTCTTTCAGATCAACTGTGCATTTTTAGATGGAATGAAATAGGCTTTTAGTGTCTCCTTTACATGCAACTCACTGTGTGTTCTCCAAGAATGCATTTGAGTTTTTACGCTTTTTGGCAACTGTAAATTTTACTCTTGCTGACAGCAGCAGTAAATGCTTTATGCGGAACAAAATCAACTCTGTGAAATGTTGAACTCTGTTTTCTTGCTCCATAAAATATCTCTTGGTGCTAATGCAAACAGAAAACTCCTTGCTCTCAGGGAAAGGTGAAGGGAATAGAGGTGCCAGCTCCTTGTAGGCTGCACGCTACAGCTTTTAGTGGCATTTTGCCTACAATTAAAACACTATTTTTTTCTTTGGAAGGTGTAATCTTGCTTTACTTAAGGTAACAAAAAGTCTAACGCTTGTGAAACAAGATCTGCTCACAGCAAACCTAACATTTTTGAAAATTCCACATAGTACTTCTCTGCATGCATAAAAATCTACATGCTTAAAGATAATAACTGATGTCACTGGGACTTATATGTGTGTGCTTCTGCGCTTTCTTTCTTAAAAGCACAGAGCACACGCTAACATTACATGCCTCCTCCTCTGCAGGCATTCTGGTGGAACACAACCAGGCTGCTCAGGTTTGTCAGATGTGGATGAAGTCCCCAGGAGCTGATGCTGAAATCTTCCAGCCCATGTACAGGAAGAAGGCATTCGCCTCCTTTAGGTCATAATTATGAAGAAAGAATGACCACTAAATTTAATGGGAGTGATTAAATAAAAGGGGGCAACAGTTGTTGCACCATTAGATAAAAAAGAATAGTGGAATGTGCTGAATGCAGAATATAAATAAGATCATACTTCAAAAATTTGACTTGAGCTTATACTTTAGAGCATACTTCCTCAGAGATGCCCCAAATATTAACCATATACACCTGAAATAAACACTTTTTTGAGGGGGAAAGGAGGAAGTGGTGTTAAACCCTAAGTAAGTGGAGTCAAAACATATATACATATCTGACACTTCAGAAGTCCAAGCATAATTAATGCTTTACATAACCATGTAATGAAAAATGAATTTATGCCACTTAGCCAAATTTATCTATGTTTACATTTTCAATCTTTCTAGATTTTTTTGTTTCCATATTGCTGAAAAGCACAACAAAAATCTCAAATTTATTCAAGCTGTTAGAAAAGAAATGCACCCAGAACATCAAGTGGTTGCTCAAATGTTGCTGAGCAATAAAATACTATGATAAAGTGGCATCTTGCTGTGTCTCTATTACTTCTTCAACACTAAAATTAATTTATGATCAGTCATCAATTCATTTACATGTCGTTTTATGCTAAATCCATCCTTGCTGATGAATGCATATCCCTAGATCCATTAAGCTAGAGTAAAGTCTGTGCTTTATAATATGACCCTGCTAATTGTTGCATTACCATTTTTATGAGATACAAAAACTACCAGTTTCCTATTTTCTGAGTACATATTTAATCCATGAAACACATTCTTCCTATTAAATGCAATCTGTCTAACTGCTTATAAAATAGAATCTTCTGCAATAGGCACCCCTATCAAAATCAATACAAATATTGAACTCTGCCTTGATAAAATATGGCTCACCAAAATGATTTTGTGCAGTTTTCAAGAATTATTCCATTTGTGCTCAGATGCAATGAATGAACAACTTTTACAGTGATCACCAATTCTTTTAATCAAGACTAAAACACATCAAATAAGAGATTTTCTTCCTTGCTGAGTTATACATCCTATGGCAATCTTAATAACTTCAAATCTATATAATTTTATTAAAAAAAAAAAAAAAATCAGATTTGTTGTACATATGCAATGTTACTCTTTACAAGAATATCTCTCTGCTTCTATGAGTGAGGTAGGAATAGAGCCTGTTCTAATGTCCATGCTAGTCAATGGGTCTATCTCTTTCCTCAGTAAGTGACTTTGTATTAAAAGTCAGTAGAAATTTTCCATCTGCTCTTCAGGGTTTTGTTAGTTTGCTTGTTGTTGTTTGGTTTTGTCTGGTTTTGTGTTTGCTTGTTTCTTTAAGTCAGAATCAGGAACTTAGTACCCTAGCTGGGAACAAATCAAAATGTGGGCTTTACTTTTTTATTTTGACCCACAAACAGCCAAACCTCCTTGAGTTTTCTTTGCAGTATCTGGAAAATGTTAAGATACTGAGCATTCCTCCTTTCTTTTCATTCTGTCATACCTGTCAACATTATGTCTCTGTCACCTGCAAAGAGAAAACCTTAATAGCATAGATTAAATCCCTGTCTGAATCTTCAGTTAGCTGTAACTAAAACTCAAGAGCTTGGAAGACAACCTGACTTTTAAACACTTTATAGGAGCTACACTGTGTTTGTGATGAAATTTAGCAGTTAGAGCTTAATTCACCCAATGCCAGCATTTTCCCACTGAGAATCCTACTTTTGGCATTGGATGAAAAACTCAGCTCAGCCGTGAAAAACAAAGTACCATTGCACTCCAGGAGTGGATACCTTCAAGTCATCACTGAGGCATGCTAACAGTGCAAGGAAACACATCCCGCTCACCCTACAGTAACTCTGTCAACTCTATTCTGGGCAAGTCTGGATCAAGGAATGCCAACTTAGTTTTCATACAGACACCGAATTCACAGGACATGCTTAAAAATGTAAGAAAAACTGCTTCTTTAAGGTTAACTGTTCTCATTTCTCTCAGATTTTTAATGTATTTAAAGTAAAAACATACTATGTCAATTCCTAGGAAGATGCTGGCTTATATCATCAAAAGCCCTGTAAGAAGCAGCTTTTATTTTCTCAGTTGAAGAAAAAACAATTTAGTTCTTCAACAGTATTCTAAAAGCAATTAAGTTAAAGAAAGAGAAACAGCTTAGAAACAATGGATGCAATTTCTTTTATGCCCTCTTTAACACTAGCAAATGCAACCTGGATGGGTTAGCAGAAACAGATACACAAAATTAAAATTCTCCTTTGAAACAACTCCCCTTTAATAAAATAAGCAATTTCCTTCCATCTCCTAATAAAAAAGCAAGCCCAACTCAGAAAATTGAGGTTTTGCCCACATAGTAACTAAGAAATACAGAAATAGGTTTTTTTTTATTCCAAGAGTTTGCAATTTTATAGATCATTTAGAACACACTGGATGTATTTTTGCAAGGTTATAGTTTCATAAGTGTTTTATGTCAATCTAAGTGTTGGCTGTAAGCTATTGGGGTAGCCTGTCATTTTGCTTCCTTTCCGGCTGCACAGTCCCCTTTGCAGTGCCAGCAAACACATTGCCATGCAGTGAACCAGATCAAGAAACAGATCCAGATAGGAATTAAACAAGCAAAGAAAAGAAAACAAAAGGAAAACCTTAATTTTCAGCTAGATGAACCAACATCAAGGTGGTGGTGGGAACAAGTGGGTGTGAATTTGATCTCTTTGCATGCATTCCCAGCCTACATTACCAGGTTCTGCTCAATTTCTTCCAAAAAAAAAAAAAAAAAACCAAAAAAAAACAAACATCAACAGTTTTTTAACACCCCAATAATTCAACTACTCTTACAACTAAGAAAAAGAAGCTTGATTCTTATTTGTAAAAGCATAAACTACAATGGGCACAGAAGTCTTTGAATCAGAACAGAAATACAGCTATTCCTTACTTTGCATGAGGTAAGTTGGTTCAAAATATTAGGGGAAAATGTAAATGTGCAAAACACTAATTTCCTGATTTACAGTTATATCAGCACTGACATATTAATACATACCAAATGGAAAATATATGGCAACCTGTTTACCTCTTTAGTTATTTCTGTATTACTGGTGTAAAGCCCGTACTGCATTCCTAATGGAAACGTTTCTGAGCCATTAGCGAGATATGCAAAAATATGCAGAATTATAGCCTGAAGGAGATTACACTAGAAATTCAAGCAAAGTGACTTAACATACTCATGTGCTAATAAGTTAACCTTCTGGATTCAGGGATTTAAACTTTAACTCTACAGCCTTCAGTTGGATCCAAGTTTCAAATCACAGCAGTAGAGCTACAGTTCTTAAGTCTTAATTAGATTGGCAAGCAGTCTGGCCCTAGGGTGAGCTAAAAGTCTGGAAAGTGGGATAAAGCAACACACTATTTAATTCAACAAGGGAAAAGGAAGGAAATTATAGGTATTGATGCTCCATTACTGTCATATTCCTGCAGTGTTTTCAGAATAATAATGTTTAAATAAGGGTACAAAATCCTTGAAATTTCCAAAGTTCACAACAAGGAGAAGAAAATAAACTGCACTGCATTCTTTAAAGTAATGCTTTAGTAAGCCAGTCTCTTTGCAGGTGCAATTAAAAGCTAGTGTTCTTCCATAGAGCTCAAAGACTGAAGAGGCACCCACCAGCTGCAGGGAGCTATGGACACTGCACATTTGGGTCTGCAATAAATCTGAACATTATCTATACAGTACATTGTATAGAAGCCCAAATTCAGCCTAAGGGGAATTTGGAGATACCTTAAAAATGTGTCCATATAAAGTCTGCATTTAAAAAATGTATATATTTCACTGCCTATATTTCATCAACAGCAATTTTATTTATTCAGATTCTGTACATTAGTTTAGCATACTCCTCTAAGTCCCCTTTGATGATTCCTGTTGTAACTTTAAAATGTATGCAAAGGGCGAAAAGTAGTGTTGTATCAGAATAATTAAGTAACTTAACTGAAAGGGAACAATTACTAAATTCTTCAACACAAAGTAGGCTCAAAATACACATTTTTTTCCCAACATAAATGTTGTATTACACTACAACTAAATGTTGTGCTGATCTAACTAACTGTGCTTATTTTGAAGTCTTCTAATTTCTTCATGTTCATCTGTGAAAGCATTTACCCAGTAAAATATCTGAAAATTATTTAAGATAACATTTTTATGCTGCTCCTGATGTATGAAACACATATTCCAAAGCTGAGGTCTTCCCTCTCCTTTTTATGTAACTGGTTTGCTTCTCCAGTAGAGTGAACTTTTCATGAAAGCTAGGATATAATTGAGTTTTCTTTTGAGTCTTTAAAGCTTTTTAAAATTCATGAATTTTCTTATCATTTTGCAGCAACGCAAAGTATTTTCAAATCCTTCTTTAACTTAGTGTTCAATATTAACACATTTTAAATGTTACAGAAATAGAATGGAATAAATTTTCACTTTAAAAGTGTTTGTTTGGTGATGTATTTTCCTGTGAGGAACAAGCTGGTGTTAATGTTTACTGTGTTTGGTTACCTGTCACAGAGCTGTCTAAATTGTCCATACTGGAGCCTGGAGTATGCTCTAGACCTCTCAGTGGCCTATTGATTTCTAGAGTTTCTTCTTCAATATCATCCTCATCATCGTCTGGAACATCTGTTTCCAAGTCTGAAATAAGGTTTCCAGATACATATCCGAGGGGTGGAACTGGTGCCTGAGGAGGTTGTGTATTGCTTTGGATGTGCCTATGCAAACAGACAGGAAAAGGCATCAGAATGGATGAGAGTTTGCACTTTGTGGTCAGTAAAAGATAAGTCTCTCAATAAGCCCGAAGCAGATTTACAAAACATGCTTGTTAGCTCAAACTCAAGAAAAATCAGTTGAGTTGTTCACCATAGCAGAGTATCTGCACACTTTTCAATATTACATATACTACCCCTCCTATAAGACAGGAAAGGTTGAGATTGTTCTTTAACAGGTAAGGAACTGATATACATGGAAGTGTGTAGGAAGTCCATGGAAAAGCATAATTCTAAATCCCAACCCAGCATATAAATATCTAACCTTACATTTCACCTTGCAAACCAGGCATCTGAGCCAAAATTAAATCTCACACCTCTGCCTGAATAGACTCAATGTTCTGTTGTAAAACTCACCCTGAAGAAAAGGAAATGGCCTGTAGGACAGAAGAAATTTTCAAGTCCAATGAGTCCATTATCAATAGGGAGGTTTTATTTTATTTCTAGTAGTTTAATTGACTTAATTGCAGCAGTATTAGGGAACGCATGATTACCGCATGCAATTAGGAAAAAAAAAAAAAAAAAAAGTAAAAATAAAGTTAAAAAAAAACATCCACAGAATAATTACAGGACAAAAGCCAAGCATTGGGTTTGGAGTTTCACTTATATGGTCCTCTCAGAGGAAAACAACCACCATCTTTCATTGCAGCATTTTCTATAGCACCAGAGGTACACAGCAAGCTGTGCTGGGGGACCCAGACATGACTGGCCTTGGCATAAGTGTGCATATGGGGCTTGAATTTGCTAGTTCAGCCACATGAGAACCCTTGGATATCTGTTCATGAGGTGCTGTGACCTGATGCCAATTGACAGAATTCTGGGTGGGATCCAGGACTCCGCTGGTTTTATGCTAGGACACCAGCATAACAGAGTAAATTGCAAATGTCACCTGTTTGGCTACCTAGCTCTCATACATTTTCACTGAGCTTCTGCTCCTGTTTTATTGCCTACATTTCATAAGTACGGTAATTCTCCTTATTCAAACAGTCAGGGTTTTTTTTCATAATGTTAATCTATTGGATCAGAGAATGTCATAGTAAATGTTATGTACCATTGGAATCTCTTTCCACCTTTGTGTGTAGGCTTTAAATTGTTGCTTAGTCTGAAGCTTATTTGCAGAGCAAAGACTGTCTTTCTAATATACAACCGCTTTCTGATTAACAGCTCTTGAGAATTTTTCTATCTGGACACCAGGGTCTTGGCTATGCAGTATTCAAAACAATCTGCTAAAGGGTACTGTGATCTAACACCCTCAATAAACAGCGTGATTAGCTCCCCATCAAGCAAAATACTTAAGTATATGCTTAATGTTAAGCATGTGATAGAACAATTGAAGTCAATATCTCATGTACTTGTAGTTAAGCATATACTTAAGTGATTTGCTGGATTGAGGCCATAATGATTACATACTTTTCTAGTAATCTAGTAATGTGCTTTTAAATTCCTAATTGGATGGTCTCTAAATATCTCTTCAGTTACTCCTACAGTAACCTGATAGGTCTCATCTTGTTGTTTTTTTCTTTCTATATTGGATAGGCTAAACTTGCGAAAGGAAAACAAAGAAATCTTCCTTCCCACTTCAGCCAGTGGAGGATTTTCCTCTGACTTTAAACAGCCTTTGCTAGACCCTTTGGCAGCGTTGTGCATCTCCAGACAACCAATCACAAACCACTTGTATTTGTAGCTCTCAATATATACCCCTAAACCTGCAGTAATAACCTAGAATGAAAATACAGGTTTTAACTATATTATTTTTCAGAGTTTCATGTGCAATTACTATGTCCTTAACAGGAGAGTGATGTTAAAATCTGCATATTCCTAAGTATATTCCAAAGTAAAAAATCTGTATATTACTATCCCTGTCATGAAAGTTCCTGATCAATTTTCATTTTTGCAGATGACCTTTCCTGTCAGCTGCTAGAGGCTCTGCCACTGCACCCTGTCTCGTTACCCGCTACTAGGCTGGTGCCTGCACTTTGCAGGGTGTAGAAAGCATAACAGCTGCAAAATGCAGCAGCATTGCCTGTGCAGACAGGATGTGTATCTGGGAAGCCAGCCACCTTCAGCAGGCCTAGTTTAGCTGCTGCCTGGGATTTGGGTCTGTCCCATAGTAGGCTGGGTTCCATGCTTGGCAGCATGGCACTGTGGTGGGACCAAAGTGCCCTGTTGATGGAGTGTAGATTGCAGAGAAGCCTTCAGGCTCCAACAGAGTCGAGGGAAAACAGCTGGCTTAGATTTGGCATGGCCTTCTTACCTACCTGGTCTATTTATGGTAGCTCAAGCTGAATAACTTTGCGACTTTATTTACTGGTATGGAAAGCTGCTTCCCCTCTGGCAGCGTGCCACTCAATAACTAGCTTCACTTCTGTCCTCTGAGAGTCTCAAGCTTTGTCTGGATATAAAAGTTTCTAAAGGACAGCTGCCACTTAGGGAACATCCAGAAAGCAACTGACCTTCACTGCTTCCCCTTCTGGTGCAGATGACAAGTTCCCCTTTCAGTCCCCAAAGAAATTGCTTCTGTTTGTTTTACAGGGGAAATGTTACTGTGGTATTTGCTTGCTCTTCTTTTAAATAGGCATAAAGCACTCTGAAATGCAAGATACGCTCTGTAAATTCTAACTTACTTCAAGTCTTTTCTGGGTTTTCCCTACAAATCAGAAATTCTCCTGGTGTTTCAAAATACAGCCAGATATACAAATGCATCATTCTCATGTGATAAAGAGTAAAAGCTGCTACAGTGCTATTTCAAGTAATTAGCATTATTTTTAATCAGAGCTTTCGTCATTCATTATTTTTGAAAATTCTATAAAAATAATGTCTTCTGCTAGCCTGAGAACATTGTGAATGACATACAATTTGTCAGTAGGTGGGTGATAACTGATCAGTATAAGCAAAACTCCAGAAAAATATCTTTTTTTTTTTTTTTTTTTTTTTTTTTGTCTTTTTAGTCAGGTATTACGATTTAAAAAGCATATTTCAATGTTTATGGCCTTTGCATTACAGATACAGTTTTGCTATTTCCTGTTCATTTTACAGTTTTGTAAACATTAGCAAAATGTTGTTAAACAGAATTGATATTTATATCACTCAGGAATGGATTAATACTGTGTTTTCATTTCCCAGACTGCAAGTGCCCCCTTCAAACATTTACCATGTCTGTTTTGCTATATCAAACTGGTAGGCCCTGGTTAATTCATCAAGGTGGGCTTGAAGCATTGGCTGCATCTCCTCTCGCGGAGAAGGCGTGAGGGTTGCAGTTGATTGTTGCCCAAAGGAGATCGCAGGCGATGAAGCTACTCCTCGCACAGGAGGTGTGGGAACACGATCATCGTCTTCTTCAAGCTCATCCTCCATGCCCTGATGGAGGTAGGTCTGAACAGGCAAGGGTGGACACCAACCATCACTGTCATATCTAAAATAAAAACCAAGTAAACTTAGTATATGTCAAATCTGAGCTCTGAAGTGTAGCAGCAGGTATACAAGGTTCTTACTACAGTTTGATTCCTCACACACAGTGTGGGATATAACTTTTGTTGAAAATAGGGTCATACTTGCTTCAGTTCTCCTTAGTGATTCTACTTAATTTTTCCCACAACTGCTAAGCAACTTGAGTAAGACGTGCAACAAAAATAATTACAGATCCATAATCACATTTGTTGATGGTGATAACATTCCTCCACAATCAGCTACAAAAATGAACTCACCTTCTCAATCATTAACCTAGGAGAATGTATTGAAGATTGACCTAAACATGAAAATAGGAACATTCTTAAAAGACAGAGTGAGCTTTATGTAGCTGTATCACACAATCACAGAATGGCTTGTGTTGGAAGAGACCTCAGAGACCACCCAGTTCCAACCCCCTGCTGTGGGTAGGGTAGCCATCCACCAGATCTAGCTGCTCAATAATCCATCAAGCCTGGTCTTGAACTCCTCCAGGGATGAGACATCCACAGCTTCTCTGGGCAGTCTGTGCCAGTGCCTTACCACTCTCTTGAGTGAAGAAATTCTTCACTCGATATCTAACCTAAACTTCTCCTTTCAGTTTAAATCCACCTCCCCCTTGTCCTATCACTATCTACCTGCAGAAAAAGTCGGTCTCCCTCCTGCTTGTAAGCTCCTTTCAAGTATTGGAAGATCACAATGATCTGTACTTAGGTGCTTCCTCACACCCACCTCCCCCTTCATTTGTCTGCAAACTTACTATTTGTTTTTAGTTTGTAGCTTCTATAAAAAGCAACACTTTCCACATGGTTTCCTCACTCTGTCTTTCTACAGAGTATATATGTATCTACCATGATGTGTAATACATTTATGCAGCACTTGCCCTAGGCATATGCTATGCAGCTGTGCCAACAATAAGATACACTTAATGCACAAGTTGACAGCTCTGCCAGCACCCCACCTCCTAACCAGACTTTTCTGGGACTTACCTAGACAGTGCTAAATTTCTGAACACTTCCAACACAGTTCTTCAAAGTATGTTAGAAGGTTAATAACCACCAATACTCTTCAACACTAAATTAATCTCTCCTCATATATATATATATATGTTCTAATAGGCATTACATTTTTCTGGTTCTATTTTTGATCTTTCATCTGGGGGGTAAGAGATGAAGCTATATCTGATCAGGATTAGAAACAGATATTTTATGTTCTTATGCAAGCTTTGTCAGAGATTCAATCCTTTCCTGTCCCTGGCTTCATCATGGACCTTTCAGTCCAGGGCTGTATTATAGTACCATCTAGGACCCTGTCCCTTAGAGACATCATCACTAACCAAAACATGTAGGCCTACTGCCTGTTCCTATACCTTAAACACTGCTTCCCCAAAGCAATGCCCTAATCCAAACACATCTTCTGCTGAGTACACTTCTGCTAACAGAACTCAAATCTCAACACTGTTCTTCCGATCTTCTGCACATCCAGCTAGTCTGCAATTCCTTCATTGTCTTCTTAACGCCAACTGTATTCCCGAATACCTCAGGATAGGCAGATCTTTTGAAAAAAACAAGTAGACAACCAAAAGCTTTCACAGCTCCTTCACTGTCAAATCATCTCATATCCTGAAGGCCAGTCCCAAGCATAATCTAAGTCACTTTCCAACTTCAAGGTCTTCACAGAGGGTACACCTTTTGGTCTCAATGCTGCAAACAATGCTGTGATTTATACAGTTAATTTCTTGAAGTAATTTAAAAATGCTCCTTTAAGGTTCCTTGTTTTGTAGGAATTATCAATTTACCTGAGAAAAACGAACCACTGACAGTTTTCTCATGCGAGGAGCTGGGTTTCAAAAAGGCTGAAGATTTGCTTTAAGCAAAAACAAAGATTTCTAAAATTAACTAAATGCCTTTTCATTATTCAGAAGTAGGCCGTACTTAAAATTACAGATTCAGGGCAGCTAAAAATCTGACTTAAAGAGCTGAAAGCCTGTGGAAGATGTAACTTGTAATTAAAACTGGTATCATTTTAAATTTATATTTAGATGTAACCATGTGCAGATATACAGAAATATGTATGTGCACAGAGGAATAAATAAATGCTGTGTCTTAACACTAGGTATTAGAAGCTATTGGATAATTGAGTATCTGTTCTCACAACAGAGAGTTTAAAGAAAATGTTATATAATGTACATTAAATTCCTTAGGAGACAGTGTATTAATAGCTTTAACTTGTCTTTCCTTGCCATATTCACTCATGACATTGACACCTGAAGGTGAAGAGACCATCCTAACTTATGCTGTTAAAAATCTGCAGTGCAATAGCTCTGTTACTCTCTTTCAACCTCATGCTTAAGTGTAATAGCATCTTCCTTAAAAGGGACAGGGCTGAAAGAGACTCCTTAGTGACTTTACAGTAGTGCATAAATGAGCTTTGGAGGCAGTAGCCTTTTGACCCTGCTTGTTTCAAATCCCCAAATGTTCAGCTTGACAGTCTATTTCTTAACAAAAAGATTCTGCACAAGTACAGTATTTTCAACTAGTTTTTTTTTTTTTTAGAGAGGAGCCTAAGCCTGAAGCTCAGGACAATGAGATTCAAAAACTCAGCTATCTTTATAACGTAATGTCTGAAAAGTCATCAGCGCTAGCATTCAATTTACCAAAAATAAATCCAAAAGAAAAAGCAAGCAAACCTAAAGGATGACATTGTGACTGCATCTCATATAAACTATACAGTTCTGGAACTAGCATAGTGAATATTGGTCACATCCATGCTTTTTCTTTCAGATCCTTGGGTAAATACAACTCAGAAAAAAATGCACTCAACTTTTTCAAGTACTTCTTATTAAATCTAAAACTCTTAATTTCAGTAGGAACCTCTGGTTGTAATTTCGTGATGATTAGTTTTAAGTCCAGTTGACAAAAATGGATATGTTTTTAACAATTTTTATTTTAACATTAGCAGATTTATTCTATTTTCATATTTTTCTCTTTGCTTGTTCATTTCACTGTCATGGTTTCTTCTTCAAAATTTAAAAGTACAAGTGATAGATAAAGGGAACATTCTATAGGAATTCTGTTTCAATACACAAATTGTTGCAGAAAGAAAATTTCCGTCTCTAGGCCTTAAAAGAAAGGATTTTGTTTATATAAAATGTATTATCATCTATACATGTCTCAACAGATATGTTTCTACGGATACTAATTTTACAATCATGCACATTAACAACCAGCAGCTAATGCTCCATTTCAAGTTGTAACCAATAGTAGGAAATAAAAATAACCAATCATAACTGTGGTTGGCTTAAGATCATGCATATTACTGGTGAAAAATACAAAGAGATGATGAAGAATAATAAATAAACATTTCCTTGTTGTCAAGTGTGTAAGATAAAACCAAGCAAAAGCATCTTCTCTAAAAAAAGGAAAAAAACAAAAGGAATGTTTGATTGACAAAACAGTAATTTCAAATACTGTGAAGTATATGCAAGTGGAAGAGCAAGGAACAAGCAGAGAGTTTGTAGAAGGCCAAGAAGAAGGGGAGAATTTCACAGGAATGAATTTGCTAGGGAAACAGCACTAATAAACAGACTTTCTTCACAGATTGAACTGGAATTAAGTATATCCCCAAATCTACCATGTTGCTTACAATGGCTGCTTGGATTTGCATGTACATCTTTTGTTATACTTGTTGAAGTTTATGGAAAAATAGGCGTGAATGTAGACTTTGATTCTTCTGGGGAGAAGACAGTAGAGAGATTCAAGAGTTGTTTTTTTCTTCCTTTTATGTCTAAGTGAAGCGACTGCTTTTCTGTCATTGCTAATGTAGATTGTTTCTTATATTTTATTAACCAGAAAGACATGAATGTTGATTTCTAATACATAAAATAAGATGTCAAAATTGTTTAGTTTATTTGGGATACTCATGCCCATAGAACTCACACTTGAATTCAAAAATCATAGGAAGAGATGCACAGAAAAATGAGTATTTACATTCCAGATTCTTTGTTTTATTGTTCTAAATGATCACTTTTCATATCACACTCTGAGAACTTTATTAAAGTTTTTAGTTTTTCTGACTAGAAATTCATTTTTCAAATGTAATTCACAGTATATGTATGTTTGCATATAATTAATTCTGAAGTTAAAACAGTGAACTTGTCATACATAGTATGTATCAAAGAAAAGGAAAACAAAACAGTTTAAACAATTAAAAAGAAAAGCATTTTTTACAACATTAATGGAAACATAATGGAAACATAAGGAATGCAGTCTGTGATTAATTCCATTTTAACATTTTGAAATCCACAGAAACAACATCAACCCCCCGAATACAGAATGACCATTAGTATTGGGTAGGGTTCAGCGAAGCTTTTTGCAAATTGCTGTAGCTCAATACTGACACTGTAAGTCTAATCTTTGGTTCTGTATTTGTCTTTGACTTGTAAAATGCACATTAGAAGATCTTATTATAATCACTCTTAATGAGATACCATTAAAAAAAAAAAAAACATAAAAGAATAATTTAAATGATAGGGAAAAAACTGAATTGATAGGAACCTGCAAGACTGGTGATTACCTTATCCTTAAATACAAAATGTTGTCTTGGTGACCAGTATAATTTCTTCTGGCAAGATAACAGATACTTTATGCAACTGAGAAGTGAAGCTCTGTGTCACAAGGGATTTCCTGGATGGTATTTCCATTTAATTTTTTTGCTATTTCATTGTTGTTGAAAATCTAAGTTGTTCACCTTCTATAGCATAATTATTTTAATGAAGTGGTTCAAAGTATGTTTTAAGGACATAAACTGATAATTACAAATACTACATAGCTAAACCATCTTGGATTTATTTTATTTTTATATCAGAATACAGAAAAAATGTTTATAAGAACTTTTTTTTTTTTGATATTTCAAAAAATATTTACAACCAGTAAGTTTGCTCATTTTCCTTGATATTTACTTTGGAATTCTAATATAGACTTCATTTTAAAAAGAACTCCACTGACATACAGTTAGTTACCACCCATTTTAAAAGTCAAAAATTAACAATTAAATCTTCTGATTTTCTTCATAGAAGTACTTATAAAAGCACTTGAAATATTTTTATTCAGTATAACTATTAAAACAATTTTTAAAACATATGCTTCATCATTAGGAAATATTGATTATTCCATGTATTTAAGCAGGTAGATTTGTCCCAGAAGGAACTGCAGTGATTCTCATAGGCACCAACAGAGTTGATCACAGTAAACTATTTTTCTACACATTCTGATTTTCCTCCAGAGTTTGATAATCTGGAAAGCATTCCACAGTTGTACTTTGTGTAGAAAATGTCTCTTTCCTCTTATTTATTGCTTTTTTCTGAGGTTTCAGAATCTCAAGAGTAGTTTAAATTCAAAAAATACCTACAAATAGCATACCTTCCTCAACCGTGAAGTTTCTTCTAAAAACCAAAGAGAAGATTGCTACCAACTGGTTGATCTTCTAAAATTAATACAATTTTATGTGTATTTTTTGTTCTGTTTCATCAGACAACAGAAAACAGGCAACATCAAACCAGTGAAAAAATACAGGGGCCATATTATGTCATCTTTACTCACTAAGTCCCATAATCTACAAGCAGCCCCAACAAAATTCATTAGGCTAACTGTGAAGCAAGATAAATTCTCGGCATGAGTAAGCAGCGAAACCCTACATGATGATGAAGCAAGGTTGCTTTTATTTCCATCTTCATTCACTCTCATGAGAAGCTAGTCACACAGTCCTCCTCCATAGCCTTCAATAAGTCTACAGGATAAGGTGTTCTCTTTTTTAAAACAAAATAGAATAACGTTGTCATTTGGAAAAACAAAACAAAAAACCCAGAAGCCTCATCTCCAGAAATCACAGACTTTTCTTCAAAAGAAAAAGAAAAAAATTACCCTGCTTCTTGTTGATCCACCCCGTAGTGTTCCAGCTCTGTGCCTGGGAGCGGTTGCACAGGAGGGGGTGGGAGGGGAACACTGGCCCAGTTTGAACCATTATTTTTCTGAGGCTTGGCAGCATTTTTACTTTTCTTCTTTTTCCCTCCTTTGCCACCTGCAAATCCAAATAGAAAAATAAATTTTTTGAGATACAATGTGGGAAAGGTAGGTTTTTAAATTTTTTTAAATAGAATTCTGATTCCAGATGGCATGCCCCAAAGCAGAAGATACATTTATGTCTTAGCAGAATCAGCACCAGCATCCAAATGTTTTTACAAGGTTAAAAATAATAATGGAAGAATATTCGGAATAGTTAGTTAAATCACTTCTTTTTAAAATGTGAACTCCATATATTTGCACCACAGTACTGCACAGTCAAGGAAAGACATATCTTGCTGCCTCAGGAATACTTTCCTGATTTATTCATGTGTTCTTTATGATTTCTTGCATTCACTGATTGATAAAAATATAATAGACCATTACAAATTCTTTGAAATGTCAGAAACAGAAATGTGTGCTTATAATACTGTTTTTCATAGTTTCTTTGTGGAAAACATAGAGGTTAAGGACACAATAAAAATATGGTCATTAGGCTTAATTTTTTCAGCTTGAATGACATGTATGTAGTCAAAACAAAAAGAAACTGCATTTTGCTGATAGAAATTTATCAAGTTTCATTGTTTTAAATATCAGGAAGTCTTCTGCAGTATTTTAGAACAATTTGTTTCACAGGGTTCGATTACCTTTGTGCCATTCTGGACAACAGGTTCTATTACTGATGTAGAGCTCTAATGGAACAGCTAGAGGAAATGAATTGAGCAACACTTTTTACTTAAGCCCTTTTCTCTTTTCCCATTGTTTTTATATCCACTTTTCCAAACGAGACACTTCAATTTGTGGGAAAATAATTTTACAGAAAAAGCTCTCTTCTCACTTGTCTTGCTTCTTGTATTTTGCCCTGATCCTTTTTTTTTTCTAGTCAAGAATTAATTAGTAGGAAGGAGACAAAGAATATTTCAAATACCTTGACTGCTTCAAGATCCATCCATTTCCATTTCATTAAAACTCTGGATTGTTGGGAAGAAGAATGGTTTGTTGTATACTTTTTCTAGTGGGGTACCCAGCTAGCAGCCATTTGGGCCTTGTCTGCTGAAGACAGCTGTCTAATTCAGCTACCCACTACCATCTCATGCTGCTTTATAAGGATCAATCGAAAAACAAATCATGTAAAAAGTTCTTGACAGATATGAATCAGAAACGCTACAACTGATTCGTCAGACAGGGTGGCACTCTGTGGCACCATCTTTTTTGTCACGGTCTTAGCTTTAGATATAGAGACATCCAAAAAGAGGTGCAATTTTAGCATGAGATAGACCCTTGTCACAGATCTCAGTCCTTGTCACTTGTGTTTTCATCTGAGAGACAATGGGAGTGAGGGAAAGCTGTGGCTGAAGCATATACAAAAGAAGAACATAAATTTAAGTGTTTGAAGGATAGATTAAGTTTGGAAAAGTCAGCAGGATTAGGAACAAACAAGAGCTAAGGCAGGAGTGCTTTTCTGGGAGGAAAGCACAGGCATACTTGTGTGTGTGTGTGTTGCTGGGGCATTTAATCTAAGAGTATCTGAGAGTATCTAAGAAAGAGAAACGGAGAGGAGCATTTAGAGATTAGTTCATATGGAGAGGGAGATTTTAAAGTGCAGTATCTTGGTAATCTTAGGGGACTGATAAAACAAAAGTTGGATGTGTGAGATGTTACTATGGATCCAGTTGGATTTGAGGGGTTTTGTAGACAAAGGGCAAATACAACAGAACTATTAGAGAGAGTGAAGAAGAGCTGAGGAACTGCTCATATGAAATAAACAAAAGAAAGTTCAAGGTCATTACTGGTAGGGAAAGAAGCCTATTCTCTACAGCTGGGCAGAAAATTCCCTTCTTCTATCCCCACGGAGAGAATTTCTCCATTGCCAGACTAGTGGACCAGACAAGTAATACATATAATACTTGATGTGTGTTTGAAATATAAAAGCCTTGTTTCTCCATAGCAAGGAAGTGTCTCCTCACACTGAAATTAAATTATATTGCTTACATGACTCAGGTTCTGGAAAAAGAATTTACCACTTGGCCAAATGATCACAGCAACAAGATAAGGTGGGAGATATGCTGCACAAAGTACAACCACAACATTTCCCTACCTAACAAAGTAGTTGAGTGTTGAGCTATTTTCCATTCCACAGTGGGATGAAATTTTTCATATTCACTGGAGATAGAGAGAGACTTAGAATAATCTTTAGAACTTATAGTACTATCTGAGGAATTGAAAGAGTAAGTTCCCTGCTCACCCTAATGAGAATAAGGTAATCAAAGCTGGACTCTGACTATAATAATGCTCTAATTGTCAGATTATTTGAAGGTCTTCCTCAAAATCTCATGCATTAAAAATATAGTCTGTATTACATATATAACGAGTGGGAAGGGAGAGCAAAATACTGACTACAGTCCAATACTCTAACAATCATCTGAGCCATGGGACATCCAGTCATGAGCTGTTTGATCAAAGCATGTATGATCTGCCCATAGAAGAACAGGCTACCTGAAGTTTCCATGTTTCATCAGAAATTCTACTTTAAATTAAGAAATACTACACAAAACATATTTCACTTGAAATATTTCTTTGAAGTCCAGATTTTGATCAACTGACATTTTTGTAATGAAAACCGCTGATTGTATTTACTCAGAAAGTTCTCAGGCAGTTGTATCTGTCAACACATCTAAAGTGTGATACTGACCTCTAATAACTGCCACATACGTACCTCAGCATATCAAATCCTGCATTTTCATGCAGCCACAGGTGCCAATAAGCCTCTTGCCAGTACATGTTACATACAAAATTCAAGAATTTTTCTCATAGGATTGTATGGACTCAGCGCTCACATACTTTTCCATCAATGCTGTAAGTCTATTTTTCTATCTCTTTCAAGTAAGCTAATATTTCCCATGAGGACACAAGATTTGCAAATAAATTTGTCTATCTGAATTATGGGCTAGTGTTTATAGGCTTCTAATCTAAGCACACAGTTTGAAATAGTCATTTAAGTTGACATAAAAAAGCTATTTCTAGAGTTGATCTTTTACAGCTATGATTGCTCCATCTTACAGCAGAAATTCAAAAGGCTATGGGTACAGTAAGAACTTGAAATTGAAGTCTTGCTGGCTTACTCCTATTTTGGTTAAGTACAATAGCAGGTTTTAATTTCTGGCTTTTCAATTTTCATCTTGAACAAAAAATGACAATTATATATTGGTTGCTCTGAAAGTAATGCCTCCAATTTATTTCCATGGAAACTACAACAGATACACAATAACACTACTTGCTAGAAAAAATTCTTAGCTACAAAACACTGTTTTTGAATGTAGTCACCACCATTAACAGATTTACATGGATGGGCTGATTGAAATACTCTTCATTCCATAGTGTGACAGCTGTGCATGGCTGTCTGGTATGTGGCTTGTCTTTCACATTGCAATCAGCAACTTCTGAAATGCACCATCCTCCACCTCACTGTGCTCATGTCCATTGTTTAGTCTCCATAAACATTCAGAAAATGTTGATGGATGTCAAAGGGTGCCATTTTTTCCACAATGAGGAATTCAATGACACACCTTTGCTTCATACACACTCCCATGTCAGATGCCATTTTGCCAGACTGCCACTCTGCCACCATCTGTCATATGGCAACCAAAATGTAATGGAATATTGGTGGGAGGGTTCAGCCTCTACTGCCATACCACCAACATCCACCTGTGACATTGTCGGCCAACACAGTAAAATAGGAGACAAAGCTTTCAGAGCAGCCCTCATATGAAACAAAAGCAACAAGTAAGCAAAATTAAAGAAATCAAGAAAAAAGTGTATTTAAATACAATATACAATCACATGTACTACAATAATTTTCAGCAGTAAAAATGTGTCACATTTCCAATATAACATGCATCACACACACACAAATTTTGCATTCTCTTTATATGCAGACTTGGTGCATTTTTTGCAGCCTCAGTCATCTTGCAGGGCCTACTTTTATTTCTGAGCTGCCTGATTGAAATACAACATTTAGAAACAGCTCATGGAAGTGGGGAACCTGTTAATAAATCAACAAAAATATTAACCTCCTCAAGAAGTTCATTGTGAGTATGCTTATAAACTGAAGAACAGTATGGAAGTATAACTGCAGTATAAACTGTGCTTTCAGGGAAAGAACATGACAAGGCAAGGTTTCAAACTGTCCTGGCAAGTTTTGCGCACAATGGTTGGGATCTCCAATTATGTTCAAGTAAGTTTTGCAAGAGACATTTCTATGGGTTTTTTATTTTTTTATTTTTTAGTGGAGGCCAATGGGTTATCTTTTGTTGGCATCCAGTGGGCAGGCACTCTCATACTTATCTGCAAAGTACCTCTGGGAAGTTTGTTTGCCTCCCTGGCGAGCTGCTGACAAACACCCCTCTGTCCCTCACCCACCCATAGCTGTGGAACCAACCTGAGAGGCTGCCACTCCTTTCGGAGCTGTTGTGGGAGCTGGTGGTGCTGAAATCCTGTGACTGGTTGTGTGGCAATCTATTAGCCAATCCCTCAGCCACGCGGTAGTCAGGGATGTAAAGCAAGGCTAAGGGTTAAAGGGCAAAGGTCACAGTGGCATTGTGTGATTAGTTGACAGCACAGGCACATGCAACACATGCAGTTAGCAAGTCAAGAGCAGATGTGGTGGGGCCGCATGTTTTAATTTAATGTATACCTTTCCTAGCCTAATGGAAGGCAGATGGGTTGATGACTATCACAGCACTAAAAGCACAGAACAGTATATTTTGTGACTGTGAGGTTCAGCATGCATGCAAGATACATAAGTATTAGTTCCGGTAAATATGAACAACATCTCACACACTATTTTTTTTTTTTTTTTTCTAATTCATGAATAGATGATACAGTATATAGTTTTGGAAAACATGAGCTGTAGTTACCATTGTTGCCTTTTCCTTGTTCTGGGAGAGAGTAGCCAAATCCCATCAGGTCATTTTTTTGCTGAATTGAGCTTTTCCACTGAGGATCAGGTAAGTCGACTGCCAACTCATGGATGCTGTTGGAATGCAGTATCTGGGTGGTGGCATATGGTGTAGCTTGCGTTATTTGGCTGGAACTGTTGTAACTAGTTTTTGTTGTGAAGTCAATGCTGCTGTAAATGGCTCCATCAGAAAGCATAGTAGCGGTTTTATCTCCTTGCCCTGGCACTGGTGGCAACACATCTGTGGTGAGCATAGGGGAATAAAACAAATCATTGATGCACAGGAAGCCTGAAAGTATCAAGGTTTAAGATGAAAAATAAATGTGTCATTTTGCACGTTTGCATTTCAGCTGAGACAAGTCCATGAGCCAACGAAGGGAAGATGATATACAACCATCGCCAAGCTATCAGCATCTGTGACAGGCCTACCACTTGTCCTTCACGTCTCACTGCCTGAAACCATCTTTTTTTCCCATACTTTCAACTGCGAAAGTGAAGTTTGGAATATTTCTCTACTGAAGAATGTTTTAAATTGTTCATACTACGTCAGAACCAATGTCTGGGCTTCAGGGAAATGATAAAAGGAACAAATATACAAATCACAGAGGAAACATTCCTAGCAAATATGTAGCAAAAAATCTTAAGTGGATGCCAAAGCTTTCAAAGTAATTTTTAAGGCTATCACCTTGACTTCCTTGAAGTTTTATGCATCAGCTTATCTAATTTTCTTTTCTACATTAGTAAGCATATTTCTCTCTTTCAGCAAAAGAAAAACCTGACAAAAGCAAGTTGTTCCTGAAATGTGAAAAAAAAAAATCTGTTATTCTGAAGGGATTTCAGTGATCAGTCTCTTAAAATAGCAAAGTATTCTTGATAACAGAGTACAACTTGTTCAAATACTCCACTACATTTACTTGAAAAACAGTACAACATGTTTACCTAATATCTGTTGATTTTTCTACATCTTTTGAATCCTATCACATACTGCAATTTGTATGTTTCATCAGTTACATTGGCAGTCTCTCTCCTTACTAAAGAATGTAGTGACATTTGCTGGTGAAATACTGGAGTTGGAAGTTGAGACTACTGAAGTGTGAAGAATCTAATGATGACTGGCATGATGTCTCAAGGAGAACCATAGCTTGGCAGATAAACCCCCTCTTGCTATTACAGAGGTCAGTATTTCAAACAATGATTACAATTTATTTAGATTCTGAAGCCGAGTTGTGCAGTTGACATAATGGTAGGGAGAGATGCCACCCAGACACACTCAAAAAGAGGGTACATGAGAATCTAAAGAGGTTTAGCAAGGCCAAGTTCAAAGTGTTGCACTTGAGTAGAGGCAATCCCAGATATGAATACAGACTGGGAGAAGAAAAAGTCTTTGAGAGCAGCCCTGCCAAGAAGGACTTGGGAGCCCTGCTGGATGAAAAACTCGGTGTAGGGCAGCATTGTATGCTTGCAGTCTGAAAGGCCAATTCTATCCTAGGCTGCTTTAAAAGAGGGGTGGCCAACAGGGAGAGGGAGAGGATTGTCTCCCTCCCCTTTGTGAGGCTCCTGCTGGAGTACTGTGTCCAGGCCTGGGGCTCCCAGTACAGAAAGGATGTGAAATTGTTGGAGTGGATCCATAGAAGGGCCATGAAGATGACCAGAGGGCTGGAGCACCTCTCCTGTGAAGAAAGGTTGAGGGAGTTGGGCTTGTTTAGCTAGAAGAGAGGCTCCAGGGACCTAACTTTTCCAGTCCTTGAAGAGAGCTTCCAGGTAGGAGAGATACCGATTTTTTTACATGATCTGATACTGAAACTGATAGTTTAAACTCAAAGAGAGGAGAATCTACTTGTTAGAACAGTGTATCATTTATATGCCATTTGCTTTATATAGCCTGATGGCAGAACTGGATTCCAACTGGAGAGTAATTGATATAATGCATACTCCTATAGTGAGGACGTTCAGATCTCATTTTAGGTATTCAAAGATGTTTCTGTATATCTTAGACCTCAAAAAGAAAAGAGAAGAGTTTAGAGTCCATTCCAGTCTCGGACACAGGTGCTGTGCAAACTGATAGAATACAATTGGTCTCTTAATGTCTCAAGATTTTTCTGCAATGAGATATGATAGCACAGTTTCCTCCCACTGTTGGTTTGTTTTTTGGTTTTTTTTTTTTTTTTTTTCACATAGGTTGAAAACTTACATCAGAGAATTACTTTCTACTGCATGTATGTGAATGTTTTAATATGAAGTCTAGCATCTCCAGTCTCAGAGTAACAATGTAATACCAATTACCAATTAATATGTCAATAACAAGTACTCAGTAAATAGATTACAGAAGAAAGATTAAAGCTGGGTGCACTGGTACATTTTTTTGCAAACAACAACAAGAAACGGCAACATGGGAACAATCAGGTGTTTTAAATACCTAAATTATATTACAGAAAAATTATCTGCAGAAAAATTTGAAGTGCCAAAAGAAGTTATAATTAATGCATAATACAAGTCATATTTCAAAACCAGTTTATTATTATCTACATGTATGCAGTGTGTTGTATACACGTGTGCCCAGGTATCTAGGGCAATATACAATCACAAAAACATCTATGTGCAAACGCAGCATGAGATGTGAGAGTCAATTGCACTCCTACCTTTCATGTAACTCATCCATGATATAAAGTCTCAACCTTTCCACAACTGATTTAATTAAAGCATAATGAATCACAGAATCATGGGATAGTCGAGGTTGGAAGGGACTTCTGGAGTTCATCTGATCCAACCCCTGCCCAAGCAAGAGCACCCAGAGCAGATAACCAGGACCATGTCCAGGTGGTTTTTGAAGATCTCTAAGGATGGAGTCTCCACAATGTCTCTGGGCAACCTGTGTCAGCACTCAGTCACCTGCACTGCAAAAATATGCTTCCCAATGCTTACATGGAATCACTTGTGTTAACATTTGTGGTCACTGTCTCCTCCTAGCATTGGACACCGCAGAAAACAACAAGGCTCCCTTCCTTCATTTATACAAATTGTTAAAATCCCTCCCCGAGCCTCCTATTCACAAGGCTGAACAGACCTATTGGATTGAAATTCCATGGATTGAAATTTAGTAATTAAATTCTGTTGTTGCTCGACAAAATCAATAAAGTCCAGCACAACCAGTCTATGTTGGATCTGCTGACTGACAGAAGTGAAAATTAGCAAAAGGCACACTTGTTTCAAGTAAACAGACATAAATCTATCCTTTAGAACATGTTTCTGTTTGTTGAAGAGGTGTCACCTCATTATTTTTTATTGAAGAACTATACCTTTACATACATTTGAGTGGAAAGTTGCATGATTTCCCAACTGCCAAGAATTTTCAGTCTGTCTTACTAATAAAATGAATTTTTCAGACTTTCTGGAAATTTTTAATACAATCACAGATTAATTTTTGTCCTCAGTGAAACAAATACATTAAACACTCAATGAGCTATTAAAGTGTCATTTTACAAAATGCCATAATCAAGTAGTAAAATTCAAGTATGATTTTCCCAACAAATTATCACAGCAGAAAAAGTACTGTATATTTCAGACTGAAGATGGACATTCATTTCCCACTGGACATTTCCCACTAGACAGTTCCAAAAGCTCTCTAATATCCATTTCTCTTTGTAACTCTCACAATAATTCCAAATGTTCTAACATACTTTCTGAGGGAATATCTTTCCTGTTGTCTCAATACTATTTTGTGGTCTTCTGTGATTCCAAACCTAACCTCTACTTACCACTCACAGACTTGCTCTCCACTGCCTATCTAGCATATAATGCAGATTTCATTCTTAAAGACAATATTGTAACAGCCTTCCTCAGTTTCTGCTCCAAAGTGACTGCCACCTTACCATTATCAAAATTCTTACAGACCTCTAATACTAATCCAGACCTTTTATCCAAAGACGCTCAAGTTCTATCTCTGCTAGACAGAACTACATTAATTTGCAATAAAAGATATCTGACTTCTGATCCATCTTTATTGCAGAAAGCATTCAAACTCAAGTGCTGAAATAGATAGGACTAAGTGATTCCCAAACCCCCAGAATAAAAGTATGATCTTGACTGAAAAGATCATGGGTATAAGTAAGCTCCTGAAATTCCAACTGTTGCATTTCTTGGACAAATTTGGAAGCTACGCCTCATCCACCCTGAGGCCCAAAGCCTTAAAACATGCTTCCAAATTAAGTCTTACAGAGCCAAATATAAAAACAAACTGATAATTCTTCTGTATTATGTGAGCTCATGAAAAGATGGAAAAGAGCTTTGTTTTCAAGAAATTCACAACAAAGAAGCTGGCAGATATTCAGTTATTTTATAAATATTGTCAGACACTTGTTTACTTTATAATATTTTTGTAAGACAAGAATTTTAAAGCATTCTTAAATGGAAAATAAATCCTGAATGTTTTAATATAATTTGAAATCAAAGTAGTCAAGCCATAGGGTTTTGCATAGGAATTTATAACCAAAGTGAGAGATTATTTTCAGAGGCAGATTTTGATACAACTCAAAATTATATTCTTTTCACATTTATCAATTTGATAGTTTGATATACTTTCTTTGCATTTTAATGTACTTTGACATATAAAGTTGAATTGATTTTTATATACTTATGTCTTAAAAATACTTATGTACTTGTTTGTTTTTTAATTTTTTTTTTTAATTTCAGACTTCCCCTGAACACCACTATAGAGAATAAGTCATTGTAACATCACAGAAACCAAGTAGATATGAAAATTATTTTGACATTTTAAAATCACAGTAGTTCATCCTGAAATTCCTATTTGAATAAAATGCTTGAAAGAAAATAATCTCTCTAAAGATTCATCATCATAATTACAAATTATTGCCTCCTCTCATGAAGAGCCTCCTACAATTAAAAATGGAAATAACTGCCCCCAAATCTAAATAGCTTGTTTCATGTGTTCTTTCCTCCAATAAGAAGGGAAATTTCTGAACAACTGTGAGGCTTTCTTCATTGATTATGGTTGAGACTGAGAGCAGTCCCACAACAGGAAGGGGATGGGTAAGGTGACAGCAACAGTGCTGGAGGAACATGGGAGGAACATTCTCCCTGGGTTCCCCAAGTTCTTCTCAGCTCTTATAGATGTCCTCTGTCCCTGGCTACAGTGTTCTACATAGCAGATTGCTTGTGTCCATGCAAAAGGGAACCCATCTGTTTCTCTTGAAATGATTCTCAGACCCTGTCCTATCACTGTGGGGTAAACTTTAAAACTGTGTTTTAAAGAAACAGAAAGAGACAAAGTAAAACAGACAATTTAAAGCCAAGTGTAAATCAAATCTTTAGTCAAATATAGAAAGAACTATAACAGTATGAAAATATTACACAGTCTTTATCTAGGTGTTAAGAAACAAAAATCCAATTTTATACTATATGGTGACAATAAAATGAAACCTACCTCCACGACTGAAATTGGCAAGATCATTGGGTCCACTAGAGCTGTTGTTAACTGGCAGACTTGTGGCAGGCCAAGAGTCTGCAAGCCAAGGATAACTGGGGTCACTTGCATTCAACAAACCTGGTCGACTGAAGAAGAATAAAGAAAAAAAAGATATACATACATATACACATACAAACAAAATTAAAAAATCTGTGAGACAACTCTGGATATAACAGAGATTGAAGATGCTACATAACTTTCTTCCTATCATTGTGTGTAAGAAACAGTTTAGGAGACTTTAATTTATTTCAAATTAAAATTGTGTAGTCTTTGATGATATAAAGACCTTGAGCAGTTAATTAAGGATATATACAAATCAACTTTGTCAGCAGAAGTGGGACTAGGCATCAGTCGTGATTCTGCCAGAATCCAAATGAACTCCGTTGTCTGTGTGAAATGGGGGTTAGGCAGTACCATCATGGGATCCGAAACCAGGGCTGAATGATAAATTACCACCTCAAGGGAACAATCACTCAAACTGATTGCTCCATATCAGCCATTTCCAGGACTTTGGGCTACTATTTCTTCTTTCCCCTGCATCCCAAATGCACGCCTGTCATCTACAGGCTGGTAACTCTTTCTTTAAGCACTCTTGTATGGTTTAGAGGCGAAGAGATTTGAGTAGTATTAATGGAAAGTTCACAGCTATCTTTATCTGCCACTACTGCATGGTTTTTATATCACTATAATTTCAAGCTTTGCAAGCAGTATTAAACAGTAAGCATGTTGAAAGAAAACATAAACTCAGGCCATAAGGCACTGTGTCTCTCTCACCCCAGGATAAACAGCCTGGAATTTAGCAAGGCATGTGGATTGTTTGTATTTGTATTTAACAAGGAAAATAAATCATGTCATGTAAATGCCCCCAGCCCTCAAGCAAAATCACCCATAGTCCTGATGCTATTCTAGATTATTAATGCACTCATGAAGTTGGAGCAACACCTATAATCATTGTACTTTATTTCTCATAGGCCCCTGTCTGGTACAATCCCTAAGAGAAACATAAGTTTCTATGGAAACAGCAATAAGAAGATCCAGCAGCTTTCTTGCCATATCCACTAGCTCTCATTAGGCCTTATCTCTTTTTGCTAAAGTATTGATTAAATAGGAGATTGGAAGTTATTACCAAAGCCTAATTACAATCTCCATATCGGCAAAGGGAAAATAGATGAGGATATATGGGTCTGTTATCAGCTTTTATCAATTTCAATTGAGTAGCCAAAGTTGTGGAATCTAGTCCTGTCAATCTACAGCCTATTCATCATCCATGAATCATTTATTTTGTGATCGATTAAGTGTAATTGTTCACTCACAGCAATTTAGGGGTAGCCAATAAGAAGTCTTAAACAACAGCAACTTCATTTGCTAATGTCTAATTAATGCAATAAACATCTTGGTAACAAATGAACACATTCCTTGTGATATTTACTACGCATTTCATTCAGGGCATCTGGGAGATATGAAACATCTGGGCTTGATTCCTCCTAAGTGCATAACAGATAGACCATTAAACCTTGTAGTAAGCTACTTAACACCTTCTGTAATTGTCGGTCTTGCAAATGATTGTTTAATACTCAAGTGCATTACCTGCAGAATTTTCAGATTCTGAATTTTAGAAATATATGTGATGGGAAGACCATTATGCAAAGAAACATACCTTCCATTGCTCATTAGTCCTCCATCTCCTCTTTGGAACGTGACTGTATTTTGGTTGAAAAAACAAAACAAACAAATATACACACACGCACACACATATAAGACAGGGAGAAATCAATTAGTTATAATTATAAGCATCAATTCAAATTGCTCAGTGTCCAAGATTGGAGGCCTCTTGGCATCATCACATAAGAAAGTACAGAAATTATAAGAAAAGGATAAAGCACATTAGGATTACTGTTTATTTAGGATTTGACTTACAGTATTGATTCACATCAATTTGTTCTGTAGCTTGCAAGGCAAGCCAGCCACCTGAGGAAAAAATCCTGAATTTACACAGGCCATTTCATATGACTTTGCAGTGCAAGACTGTGCCATGTGATGAAATTGTTTTCTTGGCATGCTTTTGCTTCGGTACATAATGACACTGCACCAGTGAGTTAATAACATCATGTCGTAATGCAGTAATATCATGTCACCACACAAATATGCCATTTCCCAGGATAAATACAAAGAAGTGGCAGCTCTATTACAGCTGAAGGGGTAGGTGGTGGTGGTGGGGGAAGCATAAAGCTGCAGGATTTCCATCAGCAGCACATGTAAGAACTAGCACGCACACATAAGTGCATACACGCCAGTATTACAGAGAAGAGATTTTTTCAGTCTTGCTATTGTGGATGCAAAGGATACATTGTAGCCCCATTCATAGGTATCAAGAAACAGCTCATTCCTTATCTACCTTATTAACAGGATTACATTCGAGAGTGATATAGGTAAACTCACATTACTTAGATGCTAATTGACAGGATTACATACTCCTTTTTGAAGCACTGGCAAATATTTTGAATCAAGGTTCAGAAATGACTGTGGTTGTCAGAGGCAGTATTGCATTATTTATTGTTGGGTATAGGCAGGGCTGACAATTAAAGTATATCAATGTCCTGGACACTTGCATCCTCACAGCTCTAACAAGATGAGGGTTAGAATTTCAGAGAGGAATGGATTAGCCTATGGCCAACTTAATTTAAAATTAAGGTCCAATATTGGAAATACTATCTACCTTTCTAAATACTATCTACCTTTCTAAGACAAACATCTTCATCATTAAATTACATATTCCTGAAGATTTGTAGTGTTTTCCAAAAATTTGATCAAACTACACCAATTCAAGATTAGGCCTTCCATTATAAATGTTTCTAACCTGATCAAACTACTAAATCCAGAAGAAATGCTGTGATTAATAAAAAATTAGCAATGACACAAATCCACTGATGAAATACTTCTGATACCTTAGAGAATACTTGTCTCTTCATTAAATCCTAGGGTAATTTCACAGCATACATTGAGCAAAGGGAACAAAACTAACCCCTTTGGAAGCCTTGCTGAAGAGCGCTTGGGTAGGGTGATTAATTACACTTCACTGCAGAACAGACTATTACCAATATCAGAAAATCACTGCAGTCATATGTCACATCAAAATGGTTAATAGCTGAATTTTGAAAGGATGTAATCAAATCAATTAATGAAAAGAAAATCAAAATGCAAGTATGGGAAGTATTAAAGTCTGCTTTGAAAAATGAGACGTTAAAAACATTGCAGCTAATTAACTTTAGAGCTGATGCTTTCATTCATGTTGCTTTAAACAGGCTGTCAAGTGACTGCATCACTCGTTGCTTCAATGTGAACAATCTGAAGTGTTTTGGATATCATGTGTGAATATATGAAGAGGTGGTACTGACCAGCTATGTTGGTCAAAAGTACATTAGCACTTCAGTAGAGGTTCTGTTTCTTACTCTTTCTCCCCTTCTCATTTAATATTACAACCTTCTTCAACTGTCAAAGCAACAACAAATAAGGACAACAAGAAACAAAGGTGTATTCAGTAACAACCTTTGTAAATAATTTTAAGGGAATTACACTGCAACGTATTTTCTGAAAAATCTCCTGGGATCAATGGTCTTGTTTCAATGACAGACTACCAGAAATAGCTTTCAAGTATTATTGTCACCGACTGTATAGCGTGTACGTGTGATATTTTATCTGTGTAAGTCATATGGGAAAAAAGTCCATACTTATGGTCTCAAAAATCTTTGTATTGCTAGTATACCTCTATAAAACAAAGATAAAATGGAGGAACTAGTAGGAAATCACAGCAATGTTTGCCAGACACATTCTATTTTCTACTCAGTGAGGCAGAGAGAGAACGAAGGCATGCTAGGAAAAACATATCAAGATGACATAGAAACCTTTGCTGTAGAGCTATAATTGCTGCAGAATGGTTGCTGTATACATGCTTGCTGAGAAGAGACAGGTATCACAGCATTTACTCCTTTTTCTGCTACCTCTGTATCCTAATGGTAGCAACTATTTCCTGTTTCTTCCTACATTAAACAATCTTATGCCCTCCCAAGATAAACACTGTCTTCAGAAGAGATTGTATTGCAATGACCTGGTTTGGTAGGGAAGATCATGCCTGGCTTATGCAATATGCATGGAACTGGGAAGGAATACAGGTTCTTTCATTTAAACTCCTCCTTGCAAACCAGCACAATTTTGGTTGTAAACTTAATCAGAAAAGAAACAAGAGAGCATTGTGGCTTCTACTCTTGGAAAGGCTCTGGAATACCAATTAAGCTAGCCAAAATTGGAATAATATCATCAGGATGTCATAGAAAAAAAAATATGCTATTCCAGATGATTTCCATAAACGGGCTGAGGGAAGATAGAGAAGATGCCTTTCTTTTAGCATCAATATTGTGAAAGAAAAGACAGCTAAAAAACAGAAGACATGGTCAGGCTGCCAACATAAGCACTATGTTTATCATTCCTGCCATACATTTTGTCAGCATTTTTGCCTGCAGTTTGATTTCTGCAATTACAAAGCAAGTCTGAACGCCTGAATAGGAGCATATTTAATGCAATGCAGACATGTAGATGTCACTGTAAAAATAAAACACACAGACAGCTGGCTTTATTCATCCTGTCTCCACTTTAAAAAGATGCAGAGTAATTTCAAGGGGCAGTGTAAGAGGAGAAAAGGAAGGATGTCCCTATCACTGACCCACCCATCTCTCTTGCTATTTTATCACTGAGGAAGCAAAAAGCTCTTTCAGCATTCTTTGCATCTGATATATGTTCTGAAAAAGAACACAGACCTGAAGGGATGAGATTGGTTTTCAAAAGAAGATAAAAAAATAACCTCTGCATAGAGAGATTTTGAAGGAATCCCCACTAGCTTATACTTCAAGGATTGCAAGAATGCAGAAAGATAATCCAAAGCACATTTTGAATGCATAAATATTTAAAGAAATTATATTGTATATATTTCTATGAAGAATGGCGTATGTTAAAGAGTTTTTTATATGCCTTTTATTAAATATATAAGGAGATGCTCATACTATTTACTAATATTATCTGACAAGGTTAAACTTAATCTTCGTGCCTGCTAGGACTGGAAAAATACGAATATACAGTAAGTTGACATTTTGAGGCAAGAAAGCTTTAGAAAGCTTTATGTACGCCTATCTCTAGAAGGCCACATTTTCCTACCACAAATGAAAACTTTAATGTTGCCAGCCAAGTCTTATTCCTTTTCCTGATAAGCTGTTCCTCAAATATGAATGTAGATTAATCCTTTTTTAATAAGCATTAACTCAGAACAGATAATCAGCATATAAAAATTCCATCAAATCTTCTGCCTACCTTTGGACAATTCTGTCAAATAACTTATCCTCATTTAACAGCTTCAGGAGTTAAGCATAAAATGTGTAGCATTCCATAATTCTCTATTTATCTATTTTTAATTTGTTTTTGTTTACTTGGTTTCATGAAATCTTTAATCCCAAGGAGCACTAGTCACTAAATAAGCTTACCTACTCATAAATGAAAACACATATTGACTTTTCTTGCATGACTGATGGCCTAGACAATCTTGAAAACACCTGAGTATTCAAGTGAGCAGTTACTGGCACAACAATGAGTTTGAAGCCATAGGAAAGATAAGCAGATAAATGAAATCTCTCTTATTTCTACAAAGTGATTCTGTGCCTTTGTTGTATAAGTCTGTATACTAAAATGTGAAAGAAGAATTGCAATTTCCACTGCTGCATAAACAAGTTCTGTTCTGTCACTGTAATATGGGAATTAAAAAACTTTTCTATTATACTAGAAGTGGTCAAAAGACTGTTGTTTCACCTAACTTTTCTTGCATATGGTAAATACTCACAGTGCATGTTTATATCCAACAATCTGAGCAAAAGGTAACCATAAAAATAAAGAAAATCAGTTTAGTAGTCATTTTAGCTTTTACAGATACTCATAAAAGTAATATCAATCCATTCTTTATATCACAGAATCACAGAATATTCCAAGTTGGAAGGGACCCATAAGGATTATAGAGTCCCACTCCTGGCTCCACACAGAACCACTCCAAAATCAGACCATAGGTCTGAAACTGTATCACAAAAGAGATCACTAAGAAGGGGTAATATTTGTGTTTATTGTCTCTGTGCAAGATTTACTTTTGTTGACAGCCTGTCATGGTCCCAGAAAGGTATACTTGTTGCACAACTGCAGATCATGACTACTGGAATCAGCTCAATTGAAAATGAGTAAAAAATTAGCTATGATTTTCAGTTTCAAATTTTGCTTGTGACCATCTGAGCAATCAATCGGTGTTTATGAAAATGTTTACAAAGACAGAAAGCATAATGAATTTAACTCAATCAATTATTTTTCTCTGGTACAAATCTTTACCAATAGTGTGATATTTTCTGTTTGCTCTGTTTCTATGCAGAGTGCTATAGTAATTTAGTATGATAGCAGAAATTGTATCACCTAGGAATCTAACAATAGAACACAAGCAACAGTGTCCTAGTGAATGACCTTTAGTCTGAAAGTGATCGGATAGAACGTTTTTGGCAAGTAATTATACCTGCTCAATACAGACTCTTTAGCTTTAGTTTTGAAAATTTAGCCAGCTATATGTATGCAAGTAAAACTGAAAAAAAAAAACAAAAAAAAAACCAAACCCAAACCACAAAGAAAAATACTACATCAAGTATAACGGATAAAATATTTATTGCTCAGAAATCACATGAAATAGAGTAGTAGATGTCTAAATCATGTTCTGCTAATACTTTCAACTATCTTATTATACAGTCAACTCTGTATGCTGTGTCTTTCTACAAGAAGAATTTAATGCAGATATTTGGAAGAAAATTGTGCAACTTCCAAAATCTGTGTATATTCAGATAAATCCATCTTCGGTAAAACTTTATCAACAGCCATTTCTGATAAGATTCTAAATACTACGTACTACTAATTATTTAGATCTGAAACCAATTCAGTGCTTATGAATCATAATTTTGAAGGAAAAAACATGCCACTGAATGTCAACAAACCTCCACAAGCATAGATATGTTTGTCTAAATGAGATTACCCATTACAAATTCAAACATTTGAGAACTAAAGATGCCTCTTAGGGAACTCTAGCTCTAAACATAAAAACTATGGACTATGTCTGCTGTTTGTACTTGCTTACTTGATGATCTAGGTTCTCAATTTCTTGAAATGATTACAGAATACAGAACTCTGTATTATTAATAGTTCTGTAAAGTCCATGAGATGTCAAAACTATTTTTAAAACCACATTTTTTTGGCAGGGACTCTGGCATATCCTAGTTATTCAGCTTATGTGAACCAATCACACTGAATCATGTACACCAGAGGTGGCACTAATATGATCGTAGTTTGTGCCAGTGTCAGCTACAAAGAAATGGGAAAAAATTACCAGTTATAGTCAGTCAACAATTGCATGGTCATAGGAGCCAAATTTTAAAATGTATTATTTCATTTTTTGAAAAAATATCCTATGTTCTCAATAAAAAACAAGAAAATATTTTATGATAGGATGTGTTGCATCAGAACTTGTTCTGACTTGGACAAACATACCAAGAAGCCAGAAGGAGTAATTCCTGAGTCTTTAGAGCTTCTTAGGACAGCTCTCCCTAGCAATGTCATGGGTCCCTGTGCACACATTACCACCTTTGCTCATGTGCCTCAGCAGTCATTTGCTCTTTTCTGCTTAAGCTAAGCACTTGAACTGTGGTTTGTATCAACAAGTAGAAAGCATCTAGCAGAACATGATGACCAGTTCCACAATGCAATTAAGACTGTCCTCTATCACATGAATGGCAGAGGTGTCAGAAAAGACAGCTTTGGCAAGTGCAACTTAGGACCCATGCTAAGCACAAAACCTCTTACAGACTTCAGCTGTAAAATGCTGAAATTTATCAGGCTTTTAAACTTTAATATAATTATTTGTATGTTTATGACACAACTTAAGTATGAGGGTAAAAGCTAATTATTTGTATTAATTATTACTATTATTTGAATACTGAATTTTTCTTGGCTGTCCATATGTTGACTAAGCTGTCTTCAACATGCTGTTTCAGACTCACTTCATTCACTTTTCAAATATCCTTAATCACACTTATGATAATGGTCTACCATATGCTATGTTTACTAAAGATATGAAAACAAGGATATCAGCTTTGAATTGGATAGGCAGAAAAGAGCAAATGCTTCAACTTCAAAAATTAAATGTGCATGGATTAATCATTAGATATCCTGCAGATCTAAACACCTCAAGGCAAGGCATACAGATAACAGATAAAGTGCAAGACAGCTCTGCTTCTCCAGTAAAACATCAAAAAATAACTGAAATTATTTTTTTGAATTTTAAAATCAAAAATTGATCATAGGTGACTAATTCTTGTTTATGTTATGTTAGTTCAAGAACTTTGTCCTGCAAATTACCTTAAAAAACTCATTATTTTGAAGAATTAGATGGGTAAAAAGCATGTGAGTCAAGGCAAAGACATTAATGGTGGCAGATTTTACACCACTTTGAAATCACGAAAGAAAGAATGCTACATTTTTAACACAGATAGGTAGCAGAAGTGTTTCTCCTTCTGTTCAGTTTTAATTCTGCATACCTCACACGTTTAAAAACACTTGGATTGCTAATGTTTGCAGTGATGTGTTGGTGAGGTAAGAGACAGACTAATGGACAGTACCTGCAGGGGTGAAGGTGAAGGACTGAACTGCAAAACAAGAAAGCAAACACATTATGAGTTACACACTCCGATAACAAGCACTAATTGCAGGGCACAAGTTTCCTCTGGAATTTACTCAGTTGTGGTATAATATCATATGCAGGACATAACATTTGAGCTTAAAGCATTAGCCAGCCAGCAGCCAATGAGAAATGACAGTTGGAAAGTTGAGCAGTGGATTTAGACGGTCAAGTTTGAAGATAGTTTTTGTTTGCGCATGCTGTTCTCCAAATTGTAAACATTAGGATGAATTTTGAACATGATCTGTTATGAACTTTCCTTGCTGAAAGCATACACAATGCCATAATTCCAATAATGGGAACACCATGTCATGATGCAATGTTCACATCACACTTAGATGCAGCAAACATTATGAGAAGGAATGAGTTGCAGTATACGAACTGTTTAAAATGACTGTTGTAATCAACTACAGGTACATATTTCAAAGTGCAAAAGGCTTTTTCCTCAACACCCCCCCAAAAAAAATGCCAGTGTACACACAAGGCTAATAATGCCGTATGCCAAAAAAAAGTAATCTTAGCCAGTGTCCAAAGGTTACCGATACGACTGCCTTCTAAGAGAAATAATAGTACTACTCTCTCTTAATACGAAAAATCTCGGGATCTAAACTAATAGTTAAACTAATAAACTAATATCAGCACATGTGAAAGTATTTGTGGTATATATTAGTTTATTAATTTATACCACCTCTCAGAGAATAAAAATCATTGCTGTTAAAGGAAAGAAAAAACACTTCATCCAAAAGCATAAACTGTGAATGATAGAGTCCACACAGTCACACAAAGAGAGGATCCACAGAAACTGAGTATATCTAAGAGCTGCGGTCAATGAAAGTGTCTCTTTTCCTGCTATGCTGGCACTGGTGCCTATCTGATCTCCTCTTGGGCTGCTTCATTTCAAGAAGCCAGCTGAAAACTAATTCAGCAGGGGTGAGATTAGGAAGGATTGAAAAGTCAAAAAAACAAAAAAACACCTATAAATAGTTTCCTTCTGGTTTAATGAGTTAAATCAGGACATTGAGGAGGTTGGTGATGGCTAACACCAAGGTTTGAAGCCATAGGAATGTTTAGTTGGGAGCAGGAAATGAATGTTGGTTTTTGACAGAGATATTTAGATACCTAGGGCACTTGTGTCTCCTGACCAGTATGTAACAACTTGTAAATTAGTGGAGGTTTAGCATAACTTTAGTCTCATATAATGTCAACATTAAATATGCTGTGTCCTCAGCTATGCGAATCTTACTCAAACAGGAAATGTTTTCTTTTTACATGTATTATATGAGTACTATAGGAGAAACTACCCCAATATTTGAAGAACAGCTTTTTCATGTTAAATTAGGCTTCAGAGCAACATATTTTATGGCAATTCTATACTCATCTGACTTACTAAAAATCCATAAGAATCCTAAAGCACAGAATAATACAGAACACAGAGAATTTGGATGATAAAAAGAAAATCTTTCATTTGGTGAATTTATTTTTCCAAATGAATTTTCAAAAATTAATTTGTAACTGGAGCAACACATTTGATGTAAAACTGAGCACACTGCAAGGGCATCCTGAGGTATTCTACCTCCAAGACAAAACCTTATACAACTTCTGTGAAAGGTAATTTTTGACCACACTTTTATGCCTAATACATCTCTCTCTTTTCTTCCAGTTGTAGGTATGGAGCTGTTGATTAAGTAACTCAGTTTATTTCCCATGCATATGGCTTCAAAAACATGGAAACGCATGGGAATGAAAAAGGATACAGAGTATTCTTCCTGGCCTCTCCTGTAAGGGTCTAGTCTATTTCACATCTGAGCACATAAATGGAGCTGGACTACTACAGAGTGCATTCTGATGAAGGAATAATCCACTTCATTTTTTATCCACTTCTTTTAATGCTAAATATGCTGAAGATGCAAAAATAAAGACTGTCTTATGATAATGATGAAATGTGGTACTGAGCAATGCATTTAAAGCTTCTCATACACCAGCACTTTCACAATACACGTTTAAAACAAGCATTCAAAATTAATCCAGGCCACCTTTGCTGTAAGATCAACACGTTTTTTAAGTAGGTTTAACAACACGTGTTCTTTTCATGACAGAACCTGATGAGATGGTAATAAAGAGTTACTGTTCTTACCAGCATAATTACTGAGCCCCTTCCTCTTCTTTCTGCGCCAATACAGCCAAATGCTGAAACCCATCAGAATTACCCAACATGCACCACCGATGCCAGCTATAAAGGCAGGCTGTTTGACAACATCAGTGATTTGCTCAGTTATGCTGTTGTTATTTTCAGTGATGACAACTTCGTTACGGCCTCCTGCACAAGAGAAAGTTGACAGAACATTGCTATTACGGACTCTGAAATGCAAACAGGAACCAAATATTGGAAATTAAAATAAAATAGAAAAAAAAACAGAAAAAGAAGTAATGCACCTACAAATAATCATCCACAGTAGGAGGGCTTTAACAAGTACTAATGCACGCCTGAAAACCAGTAAATCCACAATCTATTTTGCCCAAATTTATTTGAAAATATAACTTTATAGCACTCCCCAAATCTCACAGATGCCAGTCCACATACTTTTTTTAACAGTATACACGCTTGATGTTTTTTATATAATTATAGGCAGAACACAATGATGAGAGAATGGAAATCAACTCTAAAAAACAAAGCAAATGAGAAATTCAAATGCAAGACTTGCTACAATATCAAAAGGCAGTTTCTTCTTTGATTGTTATCACCAAGCCAAAACTCTTAACTTTTTTGTTTTGTTTTGTTTTGTGCTTTTTTTTTTTTTTTTCTGCATTCTATACCTCCCAAATTTAAAATAAATAATGAAATGCATGAATTTTTAGTTGAAAAAAAAGATGCCTATTCCAACAATTATTTCATGGATAAAACAATCCTAAGCATACCAATTTTGACACAAAGCAGAAAATAGCTTAGATAACTGTTAGCTCTAAACTATTAGGTTTTTTTTTCACCTATAGTAGGCATGAATAATTCTAAACATCCACCTCTAAGACATATATGTGACATAGAATATCAATTAAAGTGATCATCAAGAATAACTATATACCATCTTAATTTTGCCTACTACCTTAGAAAACCAGAAGAATTCAGTAGATTTTCTCATTGCTGTGTTTTTTTTCTTTCCCTTTCCCTCTTATAGTATTGTAGGAGTTGGAAGAGACCTCAAGAGATCATCGAGTCCAATCCCCTTCCTAAAGCAGGTGCCCTACAGTAGATCACACAGGTAGGCGTACAGACAAGTCCTGAATGCTTCCATAAAAGGAGACTCCACAAACTCACTTCCTCTAAAATGTAAGTTTTCTAAAAGGAAAAGCCTGGTGTCTGGCTTGAAAATGAATGTCCATTAAAAATGCAGACAGCAATTGAGGAAATGTTAAAACATATCATTCCAGGGCTGGAACCTTTCTGCTTCCAACACCCCCCTGTCAAAAATGGTTACTTTTAAAATAAGGAAACGTGGAACATATGTTTTTTTGCAGGATCTTGATTCTATCTGTATTTGATACAAACTGCCCACATCTACATTTTTGACAGTGGTGAAGGAATTGTCCTTCATTTCTGATAAATGCATTCGTATGGCTCAATCCTTGAAAGGTATATGTGATACAATCAGATACCTCTATGCATGCAGAAGAAAGATTTCAGGTAGCAAGAATAACTACACTACAAAAGAAAAAAAAATACTGTGACTGTCAATTATTAGTCTATCGCATACACAGAGGTAGTTGAATATAATAATCAAATATTGAAATGGTCACTCAGAGCAATTAGTAGAAATATTGCAGCATTATGTCTCCCTGTGAAAATGTATGCAGTCCTCTTCTAAAATTCAGTAATAGTTAAGTTTAGCACTTTCTTCTTAAGCAAAACAGTTGCTGTGTCAGCACTGTGGCTTAACCCGAGAGCAAATAGACAAGGTCCTTTCCAGAATATTTATGAGAGTGTCTGACACTTCCAGTTTTATTTCCATGGATGATTCTTCACAGGAGTCAACAGTTTAAATGTGAGAGATTGTAACCGAGATCCTGTCCCAGGGAGTGTTGAGCTGCCTGTGCCTTCCCTGCCTGCAATCTGCACATCTGCACCCACATCTGGGCACTGGCCTCAGCACAGCACTGTCCAAGCAAAAGCATGGGGTTAGGTCCTCTGCTAAGCTCAGAGCTGGATTCAGTTACTCAGGAAGAAATGTGATGCACTGCACTACATTGCTATAACACCGTTAATGATCTCTGTGATTTTATTAAGCTTTCTCTCTTTCATCACCATGTCAATATTTAGTAATGACGACTGTCTGCTTTTGCAAACAAACTGCTGAAGATGTGCTGGAGTTTGGCTTGTTTTCAGTAATCTGCTCAAGAAACAAAACAGACTTCCCACAAGCAAACAGGTGCCAGAGAAAGATGCTGTCATTTGTTAATGGAGAAACAGCCTTTTGAGTACCAGCCTATACTGGGTCATGCTGATAAGCTTTACAGGTGTCAAGCTCTCTAAGCTGCAGCTCCTCTTTCCCAAACTTTCCTATGATGTCTTACCACTGTGAAAAAGACAACAATATAACTCAACAATATACTCAATATAACTCACATAACTCAACAAGCACCAATGACACAGAAAAGCTGGGAGGTAGTGGAGGCAACTTTGCCAGTTTTCCTCCTTTTTTATTGCCCATGGAAACAACCCATAGGTGCAACCTAGGGCTAGAAGAGGAAGTGCTGAAGAGTAAAACTAATAGAAAAGGAATTTTGCAGCATGCTTCTCTAAGCACACAATTGGTTTTCTAGTAGAAATCAGCATGGGAGTTGATGTCACTCTAATTGCCATTCGCTTTCAGTTAATTTCTGTGCCCTTTGGAGGCAGCAGGCCAGTGAGAAAACACTGCTATAGAAGCAGCCATGCTACCATGGGAAGGAGAGGGCAGGCAGGGGCTTCAGAGTCACCAGCTTTGAGAGCAGATGCTCTTGGGCTGAAGAAAAGAGCTGCTTCCTGAAAAAGCCTCCAAGAAGTTCCAGTGCAGAAAATGCAGTTTTATCTTAAGGCCAGAAAGCAGTCTTCTGAGGACACAGGATGCAATAACAAACCCCAGAGAACGTGGAGAGAGTGCTCAGTGGTCCTTCTCCTCTTGATCTCTTCTAATGGAAAGTACAACTTGTCTCCAAATTACCTTCTGAAGTTTGCAGTCTGCCTGTTTGTACCTAGCATTCACTGCCTAGCAATTACGAGTGAAAAAGTAATAGCTTGTTTAAATGTCAAAATAACATATATTTTGAGACTTCAATGACTGAAAAATAAATGGATATGGATGAACATTACCCACTGATGCTTGATAAAACTAATATAATTGTTGTGGTTTTGGAGAACAAATTGCATCATTTTGTATTTCATTGTGTAATATTTAATCAGTATTTAATCTGTAATATATATACTATATAAGTAATATATATACTATCCAAGGTACCAGTGTAATACTTCGTATACTGCAGGTGTTTCTGTAACAATGCTGTCAGTTCAACTAATTAGAACATAGACAAGGGAAGTGTGTGACCTGTAACGCTCCATTGTTCCCGAAGACAAAAACATAATGAAATATAATGTTTTCCTCCCATTGGAGAGTAATGAAGAACAAAACTAATTTGTCGGACCAAAAATTAATTAGACACATCAGATTCAATTGTACCTATTACTGTGAAAGTTTGCAGCTGTTCCTCATACTATTATGCCAATGATGGAATGTAAGAATGAACATGCCAACTGATGAAGAGAAATAATAGTTCTACCATTAACCAATGTTGCTGTTATCCTCAATTCTATTTGTGATATTCCAAGCAAAAAAAACCTTAGCATATCTGTAACGACAGTAAAAATGTTATTCTAGACTCTCTTTGAGTCTTGTATAGCATTTTTCAACACTGAGTTTGAAGTATGGGCACAGAATTCCAGAAACTGTGGCATTACTTTTAACTAAAGAAATATCATACTTCCTACTACTCCATATTCTGCTTATACTTCCTGGATTTTGATTAACCTGATGCTTAGACTTGGATTGTGAAGTCAGTAGTTGATTATCCATGGTGAAAATTAGTTATTTTCAGAATAACTTCTTATATGAATGCATCCTATATTTAAGAATAATATCTTACTTATCACAAACTGGAGTCTATTTAATGACAATGGAAGTTATATTGTTCAGCAACAAGTCTCATCTGCTTTTTATCACTGACCTGCACTCTCCATAATTTAGAATTCCATAGTGTTTGTTTGCAGGTTGTTAAGTAGCTAGGCACTAGGCCATATGGGAATCCATTATAATACAACGACTTGATCATTTTTTTCCATTTATGGCTATGTTTTGAGGTTTGTTCACTTAACCTATGTGATTTTTTTTATATATATCAGAAAATTTCATTTTCTTACTTTATGTTGCTGATTCTCAGTCAAATATTGAATGGGATTAATTCAATTATTTCAGAAATTGTGCCATTTAATTAGTAGTACCTTTATGAAGCATAAGGAATAACTGCCAGTGATCATGGCTCATAAGCAACACAAAAACATAACCTTGTGAAAAATGAGATGCAGACTATGAAACAGTAAATACATCTAGCTTTGTGATCTCAAAAGAGAAAAGAGAAATGAGAACAGAAACACAATATAAGAAAAAAAAAGATTTTTACTTTTCACGTGAAAGACTCTTAAAATTATAAAGATGCTATCAGACAAACTTGTGTTAATGACATTCTGGACTCATTAAAGGGATAAATATTACTAAATTTAACAATGCAAAACTTACTTAGCATCAACATGCAATTCCTTTTGTATTTTGTGTCCTAGCATCCCTTTCCTCCTTCACATAACAATACAAATATCCCCACAATTAACTCTTAATTATACTAGTCATTTTTTTAAAGGAAAAAGACAGGATAAAGGTCTGTGCACAGATGTGGAGCTAAGCATTCTGGCAATCACCCAGCAAAACACTTTAGTGCAAGTTTAACTCATAACAGGTTAAGTGGCACAAGACTACTCACATGCTCAAACTGAAACACGCTTAAGTATTTTATTGGAACAAGACTAGTGTGTAGCTGGATGGAACCCTTTCAGCAAGGATAAAAAAAAAAAAAAAAAGGCCTGCTAAAAGCAAATGCAATGACAAACCAGACTCACAACAAAAGTTGTTTACACAGAGATCCAAAACTCATGCTTATTAGAGGACAGATTTCTTGTATTTTCAAAACATCAAATTCTTGCTTTCAGTTCTAGAACACTCTTTAACCTTCTTTGTAATTTTTGTGACTTCCTCTTTCTAAAGTCATTGTAACTTGTATTCCTTCTCTACTGACAACATATCCAAAGCTGGAATACCTCTACTTTTGTCTTTAAGCGTGGGAACCTGAATATCATTAAACATTTAAGCAATAACATAGGAATTGACATTTTCTAAATGTCTACACATAATAGAACTGTTAATATTTGGGACATTGTTCTGACAGAATATTCTAGAAAGAAAATGTGACCAACAGACTTAAAAACAAGCAAGAAAAAGCTCATTTTTGTAATAATTAAATTATAACATTCGGATGAAAGTAACAAAGTCCCCATATTCAGCACTCAGAAGAGGTGCTGCTATGCACAGTCCAATTCAGTTTTGCAAAAATAGTTTTCCTATTCTCATCCTTCTCATTTTGTTTCTGCATTTGTATTTCATACTTGAGAAGAATCTCAGAAGAAAAAGTATCTCTGCTTCTCTTTGTAAAGGAAATTAATCCTTCATGGAAACTAATAATAAGATACAGTTATTTCAAAAGCAGAGATGCTACTACCACCTTTGCTCTCTATTTGGCTTACAGGCTACTTATTTTTTTGACAAAGAAAACTCATCTGCTTGGGATACCTGAGAAACACTGGCACACTGTGTTCAGAAAACCAACTGTAAACAGTGCCTTATGCATCAGTGATATGAGTAAAGCAATATTACAGTCATCTGAAGAGGAGAAAAAGGGAGCTCTAGCTGTTAGTTCCATAAATCCATCAACCTGCAAAAGTGGTGCATACATTTTAGAGAATCAGTTTCACTAGATAATTTGTATCTTCTATAATGTCTCAACAAAGAAAGAACTAGTTCATTTTGCTAGCTGTGAGAACTCTGTACAAAAGGCACAATGCCAGCAGGCACTGGGACGTTAAAAGCTAACTACCAAGCTCAATTCAAAACATGTCTTTTGCTCCACAGATTTTTATGCTCTCAGAAGTGATTAATGAAAGCATTTCTGAAAGTAAAAACAGGCAAAACAAAACAACAGAATACACAATCACTTACCAATTATTATCGGTTGTGGCTCACTTTTCACTCCCACACCTGCACTGGTGCTTGCAGCAACTTCTACACGGTACTGAATACCTGGATACAGGCCACCTATTACTACAGACCGAATGGCTGCATCTACTGTTTTGTTGATATGAAATCGAGTCTCATTACCTAGACACCAGATCTGGGACAAAAGTTGATGTGTTAAAAAATAGGAAATTCTTGGTATTCATAAACAACAGCTCACAGATATGACATATCAAGGTTTTGCATGACAATCACCTATTTTGGTATTTTGGACTAGTTAACAATGTTACTATCTAGGAGCAATTGGAGGACAGCAAATTATCCCATATTATTGTAAAATCAGGTAAATTGCAAAGTCTGTTTGCAAACACCACCTTGGACTCTGGCTCTCCACAGAGCACAATTCCATGGCGTGCTTTGAAGCACAGAATAGAATCATCCAAGTGAAAAAGATGTGTTACGTTTTCATTGAAATCTTGTTCAGTAATGTGATTACTGCCAAATCTTTTCGTAAAAAAATCAATTTTTTTCATTCTTATTTTCCCACAGGACAGTAAAAGGACAACTAGTGAAATGTTTCTTAAAGTATTAAAGGATAAAAATCTTTCAAAATCCTTTTCTATTCCTTTTTGCTACACAGCAGGGGCATGCGACATTTCTGAAGCAGAGTAAGTACAAAACTGCTCTTTATTGTGATTACATACATTGTTCAGAAATCCAGATATCAGTTCCTGACTTGATTATTTTCTAATTACAGAAGCAACAAAACATTCTTAAATCTGAATTCATATTTTATAATGAGAATGGTATATAATTTCACAGAGTTATTCCTGTCTCCTGCATTTATTCATCGTCCTTTCCTGAGAAGTTTCAAAACTAAGACTTCTTAGGGATTCTTCTTCAGTTATTGTTTTTGGCACATACAGCTTTTCTATGATCAAAGAAAGCATTTGCTGCCACTACAGTCAAGAAAATCAATGCTTAAAAGTATCATATGTACACTACATAATTACAACAGCAGAAGAAAGCGCTACTGGTGGAACCACTCTCAGCAACCAATAGATGGGTCGAAACAACATTAATACTCTCTTTACCCTTACTTCTGACCCTTCTCAGTGTTTTATCACACCTTATTCTTTTTTCTGCAAAGCACTGAGAAAGGCTTTGAGAACAAAATAAACTTCCATTCTTCTGAGCTCACGTAGAGGCTACGTGCAGGGCAGAATGCATTAGGGCGAGAGACTTGCAATTCATTCTTTCAGTCCTTGTCTGTCCTGGTCTTAAGTCACAGCAACTACAAATACTCCTAATTATAGGCACTGAATTCATAAATGAATCTACATTCATTCTTATGCTGGAAACAACAGATCTACATTCAATTTGTTAGAAAATATCCAGTGAAACCTCAGCAGTCATTTTATACTAAAGACTCTTTGCATTAGGTTCACCACAGCCAGCACACTAATCAGGCAGCCATCTAATCTAACAATAAGGGATGCAATAGGTGGTGACTCCAGCTGTTTTTCTAAACAGTCCAGAGGCCTGAGTACTCACCTGGAATGCGGCTTTGATTAACCAACAGATGACTTTCTTTCATATCTATATACTTTATGGTTTAAGACTGTGTTTTACTTATTTGCCTACAAGCCCCTGAAAGTTAATTTTACCTCACAGAACATTCATCATCAAGAAGAATTAAAGCAAAAGATACAATTATTCATATGAAAATGAGATCAATACCATATTGGCATTAATAAATCTTAATATTAAATAAAAGTAAAAAAAAAACAAGTGCTATGCTAAAAATAAGTGTACATTTACTGCATCCCGCTGATCAAATGATAATCCATAAGAGGTTAAAACATGAATTGGTTACAAGCCAAGCACTTTCCTCCTTCTTGATTCTGTTTTCCCTCACAACGCATCAGGAAGAATAAATTACATATTCCTGCGTGAAATAATCACCTGCATCTCAAAAAGATTATCATTTCTGCCCTTAGTAGGATTTTCAAGGAAGCTGCCCTGCTCTATTTCAATTATAAATTTCACATTCAATATAGAAGTTAGCCACAATGAATATATTCACCAAACTGCATGTTCCACGTTTACAAGCCTGTGATAATGCTGAATGTAGCATGATCATTTTCTCCAGTCTTCCCTCCACACACACCAATAACACACTGCAATATTTCCAAGTTGGGAAAATATACTTGTGCAAAAGCAAGCTTAGTGGGGAATAGACTATTGCAAAATGTAATGTGATATATAAGGGAAGGATAACTTGAGCCATCACAGAAAAACAAAAAAACAAAAAAACAAAAAAACAGAGAAAAGGCAACCAGTGCAGCAAGCAGTTAAGTAACAAACTCTGCATATCTAGCCTGTTCCTCAGACCAAACAAGCTAGCACTTTAAGTTGTGAATCTTGACACAGATAGTCCTTGAAGGAAGACTTGTATTCTCCCAGAGCTATAGTTCTTGACTCTGACCTTGAAGTGATAAGATTAACATTTTTGCAGGGAAGAGTAGAATCTTTCCTGCCAGCTTTTCTACCAGGCTGAAGACATCTTGAGACAGAAGCTCCACCACTTGTCCTGGGAGTAAAGAACCCCCTAGGTTCTTTACTAGGAAAAAAAAAAAAAACAACAAAAAAAACCCCTTCTCTTTCTTCCAAAGATAAGAAAGAAAGAAAACCTTTAAACTAGATGGCAACTACAAGTCTCTTCCAGGTCTAGCTCATGTTATTTTTGGTTTTAACAATAACAGTAGCACTGTTTATATGGAAAAAAAAAAATCCATAGGCACTCAGTCCTTTTTCTCCATATAATTATATGGGTGGCAGTAAATGCTGTCAGAATCTAAATCTGTAAACAGTGCTATTGTTCTGTAATTCATGCAGGCTAAAACACACAACCCTTCCATTACAGATCCTTTCTACCTTATATTCCTGGATGATTCCATTTTGGTGATCTGGAGGGGGAGGATCCCAGGAGATGCTGATGCTTGTGCTGTTGTGGTTTCCAACTGTCAGGACAGTAACAGACTGAGGAGGGGCACTTGGAGCTGCACCAAACAGAGGGAACAAACAGTAATAAGACATTAATCCATTTGCTAGAGCACAAATTTTGCTAAAACAATGTAAGTGCAAGCAGAGAACATACAAAGTTCACAGCCCTTGCAGGCCTAGGTATGCACATTTTGTTAGGGATTGACAATTTTGAAAAAATGTCTTTCTGAAGAGAAGCATTGTACTGAATGAAAATGTGGAATTTGTGGTAATGGAGAATCAATACAAATCACTTCTCATCTATTGCATTTCTTAAGCTCGCATTCAAATTATTCTCATGCTTGCATTTGTTTTCCATAATACATGGTTAGCTATGCATACGTCAACTAAGTCAACCAAGTCATAACGTGAGATTGTATCCCCCGTCCAGAAGAGTCTTTTCACTTTTTTTTCCCAGATGGTCTGATACTACTGTGAGAAATGGGAGTTCAGGAATTTTTGTTTGCTTGTTTCCTTTTTGGTTCTCTCAATTTGTTTAAGCATAAAGATTTGCACCTTTACACCAAATGCTAGTGAATGGGAGAGCTGATAATTTAGGTCAGATATATATTTACACTCTTCTTTCTTCAGGCTAATCTTTCTCTTTAGAGTCCCCTGTTCAGTTCAACCATTCATAGCTGTTTGGCTGGCCACTGCACATCAAGGCCCTATCCTTGCCAGCCCCCCCTACTCTGATTTGAAGAGTGAAGAAAAAAATAAAAATTAAAAAAACATTGCTGTTAGTTATCAGAACTATGCTGGCAAAGCCCTTTCTGCAGTGACATCAACAGCACGGTGCTTTTGTTGTCTTAGGACTTGTTTGGGAAGTGCTGCAGCAAGTTCCATAGAGAGGCCAAAGTCCCCTCTGTGAGCATCTTCAGCACCCATGCAGGCGCTCTCCCTGCACAGCTACAGCTGTCACCACAAAGGCATATGTCCTTCCCTGGCCACTATATGACATTAAAACTTCTTGTGGCCATTGAAGCAAACACTGAAACTACCACAGTGGCAAGCTAAATCACCAATGTTGTGTGTGTCATATTAAGGTATGTCCTTGGGGGGGGGGGGGAAGGGAAGGAATCTAATATCAGCTGCACCAAGTTGTTCCTATGATCCATCTAGTCTATCTTTCCCAGTCCATCTACTCAGTCTTCAAAAAAACAAAACAAAACAAAACAAAACAAACAAACAACAACAACAACAACAAAACAAAACTAACAGAAAGAGTCTAGGGAAGTGTGGACTAATATAGCAAGTGTATAATGATAACTTTCCAGGACAGTCTTTCAGCTCCCAGCAGATCCTGTTCCAGGGTGACTTTTTTAATAACTCTACTGAAATTTTCTTCCAAAAAAAAAAAAAAAAAGAAAAGTATTTTTCACTTTTAATATGATATTAAAATATTTTAAATGAAATGTTGAAGAATAACAGCAGATTAGATCAGAACCCAAAAACCTCTCCTCCATTTCAACTTCAAATATATCTGCCCTCTGGTTTTCTGGCTCCCTGACTGCAGTCTGATCATCAAGAGCATTCCTGCTCAGAGAGAACTCTAACTGCCATGTTCCAATGGCACCAGGATTCTAGTTGTATCTTTCCCAACTGCGTGGACCATAGCTCTCAGGCAAAGTAGCTGGTACCTTTGTATTTATATCTGTTAGGCTTAATGCAACCAGACACAGATATCAGCAGTATGAGCCTTTCTGAGTCATTACAGATATACTTATTTTTTTCCAGTAGCCTTTTTGAGACTGTCTATTGAGATGGTTCTCAGGACTTGACCTGGCACTAGCTCAGGGAGCTGAGCTCACGCCTTACCCTGGTAATCATGTAGAGCTGGAGTAGCCAATCATATGAATTAAACAACTTAAAACTGTGGCATCGGAAGTAGGGAGGAGGGACCATATAAGATTACATAAGAAAAAAAACCAAAACAAAACAAATCCATAACACACGTATCATAGACTCATAGAATGGCTTGGGATGGAAGGGACCTTAAAGACCACCTAGTTCCAACTCCCCTGCCATGGGCAGTGTTGCCAACCACTAGATTAGGCTGTCCATGACCCTATCAAGGTTTGCCATGAGTACCTTCAGAGATGACGCACCCACAACTTCTCTGGGAAGCCTGTGCCAGAGTCTCACCACCCTCTGAGTAAAAACTTATTTCCTAAAATCTAACCTAAAACTATCCTCTTTCAGTTTAAATCCATCCCCCCTTGTCCTATCACTAACTACCTGAGTAAAAAGTCAGATCCCCTCCTGCTTGTAAGCTTCTTGCAAGTACTGGAAGATCAGAGCGAGATCTCCCCAGAGTCTTGAACACCTTGAACACCTCTAGGGACGGGGCAACCACAACATCTTTGGGCAGCCTGTTCCAGCACCTCATCCCCCTCATAGTAAAGAATTTTCCCCTGACATCCAACCTAAATCTTCCCTCCCTCAACTTAAAACCATTTCCCCTTGTCCTGCAGTTATCTCCCTTTCAAAGAGTTGATTTCCCTCCTGTTTGTAGGCTCCCTTTAGGTACTGAAAGGCTGCAATTAGGTCACCCCACAGTCTTCTTTTCTAAACAAGCTCAACTGGAGAGGTGTTCCACTCCTCTGTTCATCTTCATGGCCCTCCTCTGACTATTCCAACAGCTCTGCATCCTTCTTGTGCTGGGGGCCCCGGGCCTGGACACAGTACTCCAGTTGGGGCCTCATAAGAGAAAAATAGAGGGGACAATGTTCTCCCTCTCCAGCTAGCAGCCCCTCTTTTGTTGTAGCTCAGGATACCAATGGCTTTCCAGGTTGCAAGAGCATACTGGTGCTCACATCCAGCTTTTCATCCATCAGGACCCCCAAGTTCTTTTCAGAAGCTCTCAAGGAGTTCATCTTCCAGTCTGTACTCATATCTGGAATTGCCCCAACTCAAATGCAAGACCTTGCAATTGGTCCAATTGAATTTCATTAGGTTCTAGTGGGCCCACTTTTCAAGTCTGTCCAGGTCCCTCGGGATAGCATCCCTTATTTCTGTTGTATTGACTGCACCCCTCAGCTTAGTATGATCAGCAAACTTCCTGATGGTACACTCTATCTTACAGTATATAATCGATAAAGATGTTGAAGAGCACCAGTCCCAAGATAGATCCCTGGGTGATGCTGCTTGTTACCAGCCTTCACCCGCGTTTAAAGTCATTGACAATAACCTTATGGCTATGACCATCCGGCCAATTCTTTATTCACCCTTCAATTCCATATCTCTCCAATTTAGAGAGAAGGATGTGGTGTGGGACCATGTCAAAGGCCTTGCACAAGTCCACATAGATTACATCAGTTGCCCAGTGTATGACTCCTGTGAGTCCTGCACATTTTGGAACTACATTTTCAGATAGAGGTTCAGCTGCAAAGCAAATAGTGCTAGGTAGAAAGAGTTCTGGTGGGGAAAAATAGAGCTATATTATGAATAGTTTGACTCTTAACCAACTCAAGTAAAGCACGAAAAGGTGACCTTAGGCTACACCTTGTTGAACAATAAGGCTGCACTGTGTATTTTATGGCAAATGAACCACAGAGAAAAAAAAAAAAAAAGGCATTTTAAAAAGCTTAAAGATACTGTGTAACAACAAAACCAAGAATAACTGTGTGTACAATGTTAACAATACTAAATAATAATAACAAACAATAGTAATAAAAATGGCAAAACAACACTGTATAAATTTTATTTTATTATTTATTTTTTTAAAGTAAAATGAAATGTAGATACTTTCATCATTAGGACATTCAGGTATATAATGTTTTATGTGCAAGTACTGGGAACATGGAGAAAGGGAGAAGAGAGAGGTAAATGCTTTATCACTGAAAAAAAAAAAAAAAAAAAAGCAATGTAATGATTTGCATTTGCATTTAAACTGCGGGAATATTCTAGTTAATATTCTGTGTGTGGACTCTTTTTGGTTCTGAAGGATATATGGTAAGTTTTAAGCAAAATTAAATCACAACTGATGAATGTAGCTGAAAGTATCACTTTAAGAGCTGTGGTAAGGCAAGCAAGAATTGATTGCTGTTGCAAGACAGCAACTGATAAAACTAAGGAGACCTCCACTACCAACTGTCATATTTTTGTGGTGACAAACAATATGCAGAACAAATACTACTCCATAAAGTTATTCCAGAAGCAATTTAAAATAGTGTATGTACCCGAAAGGATTATCATCTGTCTTCATAGCAAGTGTGAAAGAAGAAGTGAAAATTAACAAACAAAATGTTCTATTTTGCTCTTATGTGTGTAGGCACACATATGTATACAACAGTTCTGCTTCCTCGTCCTATGATAATATCACTTTGTAAGCTGGCACCGTGATATAAATTAAGGCACTTGTCTGACATTGCTGCAGTTATTAAATAGACTACATTGAAAAATAACATTTTTAAACCTGTTTTCTCATTTCCCTTGCTGCTGCCTTGTGGAGAACACCTTGCCTGCTTCTTGACAGGTCAATTATTCCAGTGCTCAGCTTCTTCTTACAGATATGAAAGAACCCAAATCGCTGCTCATCTCTTCCAGAGGCAGCCAAACAGAATTCCATTTATTACCTTCACAAGGCCAAAGAGGTAGGAGATGAATGGATACTGAACTGTGACAAATGCCTGATCCAGAGGAAAAGTCTAACTGTTGCAAAATTGATTTTTGGAGCTAGCACTCAGAAGTAACATTGCATGTAAAATTCAGTCCAGCAGAAAGCTGCCACTGCCTCCTGATTGTACTTTCCTTTACCTGGGTTGTTCATCTTGCAAAAAACTTCAAACATGCATATCACTCTTCCAGATTACTTTCTAAAAATAGTACAAGTGACATTTTAAAAAAGTCAAATCTAAAAAAGCTCATTTTTGAAATGAAATCACAGGCTGCATAGAAAGTGTGACACCTTTAAATAGACTGCCATTTCTCTTTATTGGATGAGGAGCAAACCACAGTTATTAAACATTAAGTTAGTGCTATTTTTGAAATACATGAACACCAATATGATTACAAAGTTAATACGAGGAGTTAAAGGAAAATATCTCCGAAACAGCATCTAGTGGATTTCTTAACTTTCTCATGGAAGTACAAACAAATGGAAGAATTTTATAAAGGAGTTGTCATTTTGCTTACAATAAAAATATGTGTTACAAGCTGCTTTTTTGAAAGAGATACTTGTGAACGGACTACTTGACGGTTATACTCACCTACAAAGCAGATCCTCGTTTGTTAGCTATACATAACTACCCACAAGAAAAGTTCTAAAAATCTTCACAATGTGGAAAATTGCACACAAAGTACAATATTACCTGACTGGCTGTATGGAGAGATGAGGCTTAAGAAAGAAAATTTAATTTCTCATTTATTTTATAGAAATAGAAATCTCTTTTTTAGTAGCTTTTTAAAAAATTATTACTTTCAAAGCTTGGTTTAGATGACTGCAAAGCTAGTCTTAACTGATTTGTTTAGGCTTTATGGTCTGAACAAAGAAATTGGAAGCAGAAAGTAGCAAATGCTAAGTGTTACTTAAGGAATGCCTTCCTACATGTTGCAGGACATTGAATTTCCTCATCTAGAAAGAGAGGCAAAAAAACCCCAAGTTATCTTCAGGACAGCTTATTTGCTGGTCAATAATCATAACAAATTAAAGAGAAAAAGCGAGTCCTTCTGAAATGTAAAAAGGGCTTGACAATCAGTACCAAATTAAACCTCGGGTTTAATTTGACTACTGTGCTTAAGATGCATCTTCAGTAGGACTCAAAGAATGCACTCAAAACCCATGAAAACCACATGAGCATTTTTTAGAAACATCACTGGTATTTCTTTCCTATGTTTTGAAAGAAATCAGTGATACAAATTGGGAAGATGGACCCTCCCTTTTGTGATCACTCTTCTTTTATAGAGGAGAGTTGATGATAACTGCTCAGGTTCTCCAGGCACAGGTTATTTTAGACAGATAGATTTGTTGTACACCAAGAGAAAAGGATAAAAATTACATATCTCACCTCAACCTCTTTAAATTTTATAAAAAATGGTCATCAAATGCATACATATTTAAATACTGTACTACATGCCATAGGAACAAATGCTTCTGCATTTCAGTGATGTAAAATGTTCGCTATGTCTGCACACTGTTTCACTTACATCTAAATGGTACTTAAGAAAACTCTGCAAACAACTAAATAGGATAGTTTCATAAACTTTGCTGGCAGAACCAATGGAGTGGTGTGCCTTTCAAATTGAATTTTATTTTCAAAGTGCAGATGGAAGTCTTTTATTGCAGCAACACTGTTTGTAAATGAATGCCTGCTGTGTACACTTATTAGAAAACTCAAAGCCACTTGCACATAAGGAGCAGGTGGAAGTCAGAAGAACACAGAACTGGACAAATGCTTTCTCCGGGAATACTTGCAGCAGAAAACTGATAATGATGTTGAATTCGAATGATGATATTTATATTTATATTTAACAAACAGAAATCATGTGGAGCTGAATGAAGGCATGCATAAAATAACCAAAATGATATTTGACTATTTCACTAACCTTCCTCTGTGGTACGAGCAGACTTCGATTCACTGTCCATTCCTTGAAATTCATTGAAGTACGGGCGAACTTTAATTTCATAAGTGACTCCTTTTTTCAAGTTGACTAGAACAGCACTGCGCTCTGTTGGGACTTTGACCTCCAAATTCTGCCATACAGCTGGAGACGGTAGGCCAGATGTTTGGCGGTACATTACTCGGTAGCCCTGAATAAACTGCGATTGGCGGTCAACCTAGAAATGGCATTAAATAATATGTCAGTGAACATATTAAAGTAATAAAAGGTTTTGAAAAGAAAGCAAAACTTTTGCCTACAATATTTTTGTCCTTGTGAAAAAGAAAAAAAATTAACAACCATTTATGCTGCTGAAATTTAAAAATCAAAATGCCTTCTTGTACCACTGTACCATTATTAATTCTCTCTAAAGGAACATTCTTCTCACATTACTTGTTATAGAACATTTCTATTTTACTTTCTGCAGTTATATATATATCATGACAAATACCATCTTAAATCATAAAACAAGCTCTCATCCTTGCAACAAATAAAAAAAAGAGAACTTTGGCATAATGCTTACTGCATGTAAACTTATGGACATCTTGGCTACTGATGTGCTGAAATATGAGAAGAAAAGAAAAACAAATTCTCTTCAGAAGAGGACAAGTCTTTGAAGAAGCCCTGTATGCTTCCAGTTAGTCCATTACTTGGCTTACAGCTCATCTTTTCATGAGATGCTCGGGAAAGTAAAATAAACATAAGACAGATGCAGAGAAAACAACATCCAAGAACATGTGCTGTTTCTTGCGTTCATAGTCTAAACAGTCTCTTTACATCCTGGGGTTGTGATGTACTCAATTCATCAGATGGAGATGGAATGTTATTTTTGTTTTATATTCTAATTGTTGCTAGGCAGACACAGAAGTTTAACAATTCTTTCATAGCTATAAGTAGAATTTTTTATTTGAAGGAAAAACCTGAAGTGTGTTCTATCTGGGAGATGTTGCATTCACTTTTTCTCTTGAAAAACAAACAAAACAAAAACAATTTGAAATAATGATTTGAGTTATTATGATATTTGCATGTAAACACAAACAAAACAACCATCAGGTTTTACCCATCAAGTAAAATCAAACCAACTCTAGCTGCTTCTGCAGTTGTCAAATACCCAAAGAAAATGTAACTGAATAACAAGACTATATGACTAGCAGTTTGGTCAATTTCTGTATTATATCCAAGATTCAACAAATAGGGCTTCCTTTCTGTTGTTGACATTCTGCTAACTCAAAGGTACTTCAGAATTAAAGATACATTTTTTTGATTTATCTTTAGAAGAAATGAACTTCAAGCTGAAAACACAAACCAGAGTCTACTACACTTTCGTTATAATCTCGTTATAGTTTATCGAGTCATTCAGAAGGGATGCAGACTCTTAAGACATAAAAAACAGGGCAAGCAAGAAGAAAGCTTTATTATTGAGAGCAAAGCAGAAATGTCTTTCATCAAAACTGTCACTGTTAAAAATCTTGCAACATATGTTACAACAACATTAAGCTTGCATTTTATAAACTTCTCTAGATTCACTTTAAGTGAATTTATGCACTGAAAGAGGGATATAACTCACAATAATAGCTTGTTAATACTGAAAGAATCAAGCTGTGTTTTTAAGAAGAACATTAAGCAGCTGTTTCCAGATGAAGGGAGTCTGTAAATCAGCATAAATTGTTTTTATCCATGTTTGACTTTCATTAATTAAATGTTTTACGGACATAAAGACTTTGTGAACCTCATGTTTGCTACAAAATTCAGTAAGAACAGCAACTTCATATACTTTCTCAACCTACCTTGCAATATGAGGCTATGATGTATAATAATTAAATACTAAGTTTGGTTCTTGCCCAGCTTCTACATTAGAAGTTATGCTGAAAGACACCATAACTATTTTAGAACTTTCAATTTTGTCTTTGCTGCAGATCCTTTTAAGCTCTACTGACTCCCGTGCAGTGGGGAAGATCTGAAAATTTAGAACTCAATGGAGCAGTAACTGTTTGTTGCCAAGAAATGGTATAAAAAAGTGTTTTCTATGACATCATACAAAGAGAAACGCACCTACTAACTCACAAAAAACTGTATATTTGGATTTCACTGAACAATTTTCAGTCCATCACACTTTCATATCGGTTTATATATGATATTCAAATTATTCATAAACCTCTCTTTTCCCTAGCTATTAATTTTTTTACAAGAAAGACTAAACAACATAAGCAATATGAAAACAGTGTGGTAGTAGAACAAAGCTGTCATTTACAGTTGCAGTAAAGAGATCATGCCATTTACACAGGTGCTTTTAGTTGAAAGTTTGATTACAACAGAGCCAAATGATCTGCTAGGATTTCAGATTATTGAGTGATTCTGTTGTTGATGGTCTGGGAGGGTACTTGTGAATGAAAATGAAAATACTATGCATTTTAATGCTTTCTATAAACACCTAGTTGTATTCAATATCAAGGAGGATACTAAGCTGTCCCTAATTCCCACCTGCAGTTAGTCTAAGCAAGAGGCACTTTTCCTACGGTCAGATTTTTGGGAAGTTGCTCAGGGGTCACTTACTGAGCAAGGTGGATTTTTTTTAAATTTTCTGAATAGTACAAAAATACTTTTGGATAATTACACAGATTAACCAGAGAGATGTGAGACATATATATCAAAGTAGATGTGAGGAAAACCAAATGTATTTCACATAAATATATAGATAAATATACATACATATGCATTTACGTCTATATATACAAACAATCTTATATATATATTACAAAGCTTGTAACTTCATCCTTTTCTATTCTTATGTGGTAATTACATGTCACTTCAACTGCAGGCCACTAAAAACATGCTTAGTGTTAAAGAATAGCATTCACTTGTGCTAAGCATAAAGTAACTACAGGATTAGTACACATTATTAGTACACATTTGCATGTAGGTAGAATTGCAGAAATGTGCACTTTGATTTGATGAAAGAATTTAATAATTTCTACTTATTTTCATTTCTCTCTCTCTTTTTTTTTTTTTTTAATGTACTTCCTCTTACAAAGCACTTAGCATTATTACAGAGATTGCAATAATTTTCTCTGCTGAGTATTGGGATCACAGAATATAATATCTGTGATGCTCTAAGCTGCTTTAGAAATTGTAGGAGCAGCTGCGGAATCCCCTCATCAAAGGAGGGCTGTAACAGGTGCTGGTTTAAAGACATTTTCTACCTCAGAAGATGGATGGCAGAAAATGCAGATGCTCCTTTAAAAGGCAGAAGACAGCAATTACTGGATGGGTTCTGTTCAGCACTGACTCAATGCTCTAAGGCAACCTACAAGCATAATTGGTCTTGCATGCTCTCTCTCTTTTTGATGAATGTATAGTGCAGGAGGTATCTATAAAGCTGACAGTAGCTCTCCATTTCTGCAGAATACGAAGTTCTTTTTTTCCTGCACATACCACAACTGAATATAAGACAGGTTCAGTGACTATGATCACAGTGTAGGTTATTTGCTTGTTAAAAGAAATAAAGGGGAAAAAACAACACACACACACAAAAAACCAAAACAAACAAACAAAAAAACCCAAATACCCTCATAACGTAGATTATGCTACAAATACAGGTTCCTTTCAGGCAATCCAGCTAATCTACACTCTCAAGACATTTTACAATATGCTCTTGGGTATGTAAGCCTCTACTCCAAAATATCCTAAGAAGAACTCTGCTCCCAAATCAGTACACATAGTAATTCTCCATCTGGGCAGAATATCTTTCAAACTGCTGAGCTCAATAGCATGGACTACACTGGGCTTACGTGGCTGCAGCCTGGGGGAAGTCTGTGTGGGACCAGTTCAAGAAGGATGGTATCCCATGGAAGGAACCCCACATGATCAGGAACAGAGAATGACCATGGAGGAATGGCAGAGATGAAGCATTCTGGACTGACTGGCAGTCAATTCCCTTTTCCTCTGTGCTGCTCAAGGGGATGAGATCGAAGAGGCTGGATATCGGAGGGAGGTGGTTTTAGTTTGCTTTTAGTTCTCACTGCTCTAGTCTGTTATCAACAAGCAATAAATTACATTAATTTCTCTACGCTGAGTCTGTTCTGCCCATGGTGGTAATTAGTTAGTGATCTGCCTGCTTTTATGTCAACTGATGAATTTTTTTTTCATCATATTTTTCTGTTGTTGTTCTGTTGATGAGGGGAAGTTGGAAAGCAGCATGGTGGAGTGGAGCTACATATTGGGGTTAAATCACCACACAGACTCACAGTGTTCTCCAAAATTTCAAACAGCACTAGTATTTATCTAGCGACTGGAACAAGACAAAGGGTGATGATACACTACAAGACTGTCCAGTAGGCTCAACCCAAACTTCCAGTGAAGCACAATCATTTAAAATCAATGTCAAATTAAAAGACAGAGGCAAATAAATTACCCTTCTGCACTGTTGTCTCAAAATTCCTGTAAGGCAGTTGGGATTTCAAAGCAGCAATTATTTTGCCACTCTGAAGAACTGAATTTTTTCCTGATTATGCCACAGGGTCCTACATAATGCTGGGAAACTTCTTACATTTGGCCACTAATTAAACTCTCAGTTTAATGCTCAAAGTGAGAAAATTGAGGCTGGAAGCGCTGAGCTATAGTTGAGGCTAGCTACAAAAATGCTTTGAGTACACATTATGCTGTAACAATGCAAATATATTTGACAGAAATAAAAATAAATCAGGCCAGAGGTTTAAAATTAGGTAACAGTCAGTGTATCTGATATGCAATAAATATCTCTGTACCTTGTCTACCTATATGTAAGGTTGGGATAATTACACATTTTTATCCTTCTGATGATAAATTCAGTATTATTTGTGAAACACTCAAATGTTACAGTTGAGAGCATGACAGATAAGCACATGAGACAAACTAATATTTTTTTTATTCAATGCTGGGTTTCAGTGGTATGAATTTCCTAAGATCTGGCAGCACACACTGAATAAAAAAGATAAAAAGAAATGCTGAACAGCTTTATTAAGAATAGATAGTGTATGTGACCAGATAATTACAGTTGCACTTTAATACTTAGGCACACGAGGGATAAATTTATGTGACAGTGACAACCTAGCTTCTGATACTCCTTTTTAGCATTGGCTTTGTGAGCCTAATCTTTTCAAATAGATGAAATATATGGGTATATACTTAGATATTTTATTTCTAAACATTTTAAAATTACAAAACAGAAACAGAATTATTTGTGAAATTTTAAACTCAAATTAAAAAAAAATACAGAAAGAAAGAAAAAAAACAAAAACATCTCAGAAAGAAGAGAGAAATTGGTGTAAATTTGTTGGAAGTCAAGACACCAGAAATTCAGGAATAGAGGAAGTTTCTTGTCATTTACTCTTTGAATTCCAGGTCAATACCGAAAATTTTATGATTCTCATTGCACTTCTGTCCTTCTGTATCTTAGCTACACTATCTAACCACTTTATAAGAACAGAATGGATTTATTCTCTGGATGGAGTGGCTGCTTTCCTGTTAACTATGGTTAATTAGTTGGTTTTGTTCTGGTTGCTGTTAAGTTTCTAATTAGCTGTTCCAGATACTTTTTTTTTGTTCTCCTTTCTTCCCTCGGGCAATTCCAAAACATCTCTACACAGGTCTATTCACTTGTCAGGTGGCATAGGGTCACTGCTTTGAGGGATCTTTCCAATGAGCTGATATCCTTGATATCTTTAATGATATACCTTAACTTACCATATTTTTTTTTTTGCTCATTAGCAGTTCATTAGAGGCACCAAGAGACTCTCCAACCATAGTAGTTCATTATAATACAATGAATGCTATTACACTGTATAAAAGGGAATTTCATTTATAAATAGGGAGAAAACCTATGTCATTGCATTTCTGCTATCTCTAACATACAATAAACGACTTGAAGAAGCACCACATGTTTGTCATCCAAGTTTACAATTACTGGCTGCTAACATTCAAAGTTTCTAACCTACTGAATCATCTGCTTGGGCAAAAAGACTTTCTGCAAAGGCACTTGGACCAGAAAGTCAGTCTGTCCTGGAGTTATTTAGCTGAAACAGACAGTATTTTTAGAAGGACAGGCTGAGTGTTAACATTAACAACAAAATGCAATGACACATTTTTTAAATAATCTTCTCAGAAAGACTAATTTGTGCACTTCTCTATTCATTTTTAATCTGGTCCTTACCATTGAAATCTGTTGAAACAAGGATGACATATAAGCCTCCATAAATACATCTGAGATGTGTAAAAACTGCAGTATTTTATAATACACAATCTATCCATATTTATATCCTATTGTATAGACCTCTGTACACATGAAACTCTTAACAATATTACCTGTAGAAGAAAACTTCTGAGTATTGTGAATATCTCTTAGGCAGAATTCATTCTATATACTGTAACTGTTACAGTGACAGGCATTGCAATGTTATTTATCTCACTTTTCTAACCACGACTCTTCTTTCTCTGGGGCATATGCTCCAAAAGCAAAGCCCTCATTTGTGGTGTGGAGTGCCCTAGGAACAATCTCTTTCTAAGAGATTGTAAAAGAAACATAGAATTTTGAAAGCCATACACTATATCTTAACTTCTCAGAAATTCTACCCAGTAGTTTGGTCCCTCAAATAGGTAAGTTAAGTACTGCTGGAAACATTCTGGTCCTCTATAATGAAAAGAAGTCCACTGACTGAGTGTAAGGCGTATGCTAGAATACCAGATGCTACCCATGGATCAGGCACCAGCATAATGTTGCCTACTTTTCAACAAGCACACTCTTAGAAATCTATTTCTGCATTTTAGGGTCACCAAATAATAGAGTATTGTCAAGGGGTTCTCATGCTTTCAAGTGGAAAGTGTTTTTTCATACAACATTTTAATGATTATAGTTATTTTTGCTATCCACAGTTATGAATCCACAGATCAATTACCCTTAGATTATGGTGTTAAATATAATTCATTTTCATAATTAGACATCTATCTCCCTTTAAGCTGAATGCAGAAATCCTTCAATCTGCCTGACCTAAAGGAGAAAATGAAAAGATCATTTCATCTACACATATTCCTGTATGACATTAGTTTAGTAGAGCACTTATGCTGGTCAAGACTGGAGCTTTTCAATATAGTAAAAGAAATGTAAGAACAAATAGGCAAAATTAGGTAAAGCAATGTAATTATATTGAAAGCCTTACTGTCCAGGTAACTTGAACTGTTGTGGGTGTCAGCACAACAGGGTTATGCAGTCGTACAATGACGTCTCCCAGTTCCTTCTGGACTTGCCTATGATCCACACCTTGTGCTGGTGGACTGATATCTGCCAGACAAAACAAATACATGAAAGCATTATTTTAACGAGAAAATATACATGACAACTGGAATGACTGAATAGCTTAATGACTTGACTTTAGCACCCTCTTACAGCAGTGTTTTTAAAACAATTGAGTGCTAAGCTTCGAATGTGAACTACCAAACATACCAAGTAAATTCAAACAATCATTCACCTTTGGCTGCTTAGGAAATCAGGAAATAAAAATACATTAAAATGACTATTCAGAGTTGATAGTAATATTTCTTCAGACCTTGCAAGTGATGAGAGAGATTCAATTATTCACTTGTCTTGCAATGTTCAGATAACAGTGATGTCAGCCAGATATCTGGAACCAAACTGGCTAGCATAATTTAAGAAAATGAACAGGTTTTTAACTTTCTTAGAGCATACATGACACTTAGTTATTATACGTTTCCAAACTGTCACTAAACTTTCCCTCCTTATATACCATGCACATGAGAAACCAAACGCTACAAATAGCAATTTCTTTTTCAAAGTGCCTTTTCCCTTTACAGATAAGATAATGAAATCTAGCACAAATATGAAAAGTAATAATTCATTAAATCAAAATAATTGTGATCTCATGAAAGGTCAACAAAAACACTTTACCACAGAAATTTTCTTTTCAAGAGTATGCTAAACACTCCTTCAAAGAGAAGGGAAAAACTATTTCTTCTAGTAAAAATAAGAAGGAGTTTGATCACTTAGTATAAAGGTCTATTGGATTCCATCTCCAAGCACCACATGTGGCCCTTGTACCTTCTTCTTAAAGATCTCATTTTGGTTTCTGCATTTTGGTTACTTATTTTGGATAAACTAAAGGAAGCTATATTACCATCCATAAACAGGAACAGCAAATATAAAGTATGTATCAGAAAATGAAGGAGTAGATGTTCAATGTGAATATCTTCAGTATGTCTTTTTAGTGATAATTCTTAGAAATCACCATTTTTTGTTACACTGCATCAAAAAGAGAATGTTGGTCTAAAGCTGTTAATTAGCCAATACATTCCTGCATCTCCCTTCTCTCTACTGTAGACAGAGATGAAGGCAATTTCTAGGAGACAGTGAAGTTTGGACACATTCAGTGGCTCCTTCAAAGATCTTACAATGCCACTCCTGGCACTGTCCATGCTAGTTGTCTATCTGTAGATAGATATGCCTAAGTAGATATAAATATATTGATTATTTCTGATTCAATTTGTTGTTAATTTGTCCAGAAAGATACAAGTACAGATTTTATTCTAAAAAGCCTGATACATTATGGCCAGGCCTGCCTACACATTTGTGAATTCTGCTTGGTTTTCTCATGGGACTCATTAGCCATAATCACTTTCCCTCTTTTTGGATCAATCAAGTGTACTCAGGGAAGAAAAAACACACTTAAAAGTCCTCTTTTTCCCCTTTGATGGTCTTAGGGTATGTGAGTATGTTATATTTCACTTCTTTCTTTTTAATCTTCTAAATATTATTGAGAAGAAATAATAATGCTTTTAGAAATGAAACACTTAAACATAACAACAATATCTGAATCACAGGCCTTCAGATTTTGAAATAAACTTGGTTCTGGTAATCAATATCTCAACTTCATAATCCTGGATTTTATGGGTTCAGAGGTACCAATAAACAATAGAAACACACACTTCTACTGATACTCAAATGCAGATGGCTCCATGGGTCTCCAAAAAGAATATAAACAAAAAATAGTTGTCAGCAACAGTGAAGGAGCTTATCTAGGAAATCATGTCTATTCAAAGTGACTAAGAAACAGAGAGATTCAATAAAATAGTTCTAAGGCAGCAACTCAGACTGTTGCAGAACAATCATTTACACTACTATTCATAAAATCTATGATCCTTGACATAGATTTACCTATGAGTGCCTATATTTTAAGTTAAATTATGCTGTAGTATACAACTGGCTAAATACTTATATTCCCTTATTGAATAAGTAATTTCTACATAGTGTTTCTTTATGAAATATATTTTATCATAGAAAGAAGTATCTAGAAAGCAAGGGAATAACATGGGTTAATATCAGTAAGAAATTAATGTCAAGATGTACATGTGGAATTCTGTTTATTCATATGTACATTTGGAAACACATATATACATGATGGTCACAGTGCAATGTCATGCAATGAAATATTCACTTATAAATATAAGTGAATATAAATATTCAATTACTAGGAGACTCTTGGTGGGAAAGCAGTTGATCTGCCCATAAGCAAATATTCAAATATTGGCATGACTCATGGAAAAGCGGCTCAAGAAGGATATACTAAATCAAAATTAAGAGGACTCTAAAATTAAATTGGTGGTATATTTTCTCTAAGTTCACTTTTACAGCTTCTAGTGAACTTCCTACTAGTAGATAGTAATTTAAATTGCAGGGATATAATTATGCATAGTTTCATACATGATTATAGATAGTTTCCTTGAAGTCCTTTTTAACATATGATCCAGTCTGCTAATAATCCAACTAATAAGTCAATTTTTTTCCTAGAGCAATTACTGATTTCTCTGTCCTTATTTGACAGAAGTCATTCAAGGTAAGCCTTTTGAAAGCCCCTTGTTGTCTACTTGTAGTTCACTGGTGAAAATATGCATAAAATTATACTACTTGCCTTTTGCTATGCTTATTACCAGGAAATAAAACACAAGATATTAAAACTGCAACAGACACCTGTTGCAAATTAATACTATATAGTACGGTTATAGCTGCTTTTCTCTTCCTCAGTGGTCGCCGTGAACAGGCTTTCCTGCATGTGTCAGCTTCCTCTGTCAGCCTGAATTGAATTCAGGCATAATTAGAAATCACTTCAAAACATTATGCTAATTTTCAATTGATTTTATGATTTAATTTCATTAAACTGGAGGTTACCAAAGAAGCTATAAATCCTGTACATGTTTCAGTGTGCTTGACTGCTAAACAGCTTCTGGAAATGGAAGCTGCAACACATGCTGTAGCTAATTAAAAGACATGTTTTTACTGAAATCAAATTGCTTGTCAGTATGTCAGATAAAAAGTCTTCACTTGACATTCAAATGCCAAATAAAGTTGTATTTTTAACTAAGTGATAAGTTATTCAGACTAAAGGCTGGTGCAAAGAAAAGCATAAGTCTCCTCATCACAACAGGAGAGTAAGAAAGAGGAAAAGTTGCAATGCTCCATGGACAGTGAAGCCATGGAATCCCTCCTCAACTTATTCCTTCATCTTTTCAGAAAACAGCTCTTTCTCCTTTTACAACAATGGTTTTTATTTATTATTGCTATTAATATTTTGAGGAGGTAATTATTAAGGACAGATTTACTCAGGAATAGACTGGAATGAGAGGCTGGATCTAGTGGCTATGTGATAAAGCAATACCACCCTATTCATTCCCTTTTTTTCCATCCAGGACCTCCAAAGATCATAGTCCCAATTACACGTGCTGGAGACTGACACAGGATGCACAGGCACTCCCACACAGTTTTCTAACTTCCATAAACAGGGATAGACAATCTCAATGTAAATTAACTGTGAGAGGAGCTATTACTTTGAAAATGAAGAAATCATGATTTAAAAAAAATGATTAATTCCTGTACTTCAAGATGCTTAATGCAAAAGTACATTCTTGAATGAAGTACTCAAGCAATATGTTCTTAAAGCCAAAAAAACCATGCTGTGAAGTGAAATTTGTTTGTGGCAGCTATACACAATTAGAGCAGAGTATAACATGAACAGATTTTATAGTCATCAAACAGTCCTGAAACAAGACATGGAGGATCACAGCTATCAATTATATCAGTAGCCTACAAATAAGGGATTTCCTTTTGGTCTTCCCTTAGGGTTTATTATGCAGTGAATTATGAATGTAAAAATTCAGAAATGTTGATATAAGTTGAAGGTCTATACATTTCTCAGAATAGCTTTGAAATACCCTCCATCATACAGATGCCTTAATCTATATGAATAACCTGCACAAATGTTGGAGTAGATTTACCAATCTCCTACGGACATTTTTTGAATTTCTTGTATTAAAACTAATGCAAAATAAGGTGTTTTGCCTGTCTGTTCTTTGTCCTTATTATGACGGTGTATCTCTGCTAGATAATGGAGATGAATTAAGGATTGAAAATAGAAAGTAAGGATACAACGGAAGAGAGGGAAGTTTCAGAAAAGTTTGAGTGCCATCAAGAAGCATACCAACAATCTACGACCTGCAAATTAAAAATGTACCAAGGCACTGGAGAGCTAAACTATCCTTACCTTTCTCCTAAATTCCAGATTAATAAAGCAATCATTGGACTGTCTTTATTATTTAAGTTGTATTCAAGATTCCTTCACTCAGAGTGATAACATAAAATGGCCAAACCTAATGGTCAACCTTCAGTTTTTGTTTTTGTTTTTTTTTTTTATTTTAGCTCAAGCATGTAAGCCATAATAATTACTCTTACCTTGTGTTCGGACAGGATCTGACATAGGGCTGGGATCGCTTAGACCTTGTGAATTGATAGCTCTCACCATAAACAGGTAGATTGTATTGGGACGCAGTCCTCTCACAGTGTAGAGAGTGGTCTTCACATGGTTAGCCACTGTTTGCCAACTATTGCTCACGGATTGACTGCAATAAGAAAATGTTGAAGATTATAGACTAACGCATAAGAAAACAAGGAAATAAAAGGGGATCTGCAGGAAAAAAAAAATAGTAAGAACAAGACAAAAATAAGATTTTATAGTTTCAATTAACTTATCAAAAAACTTATAAAAAATGACAGAGCTTTCTCCTTTCACTAAAAGCAAAAGCTTTTTCTATCACTCTTAACAAACACCTGCAAAAGGAAAATGTGGAAAACAGCAAAGGAAATTTGAATGATAAATAGGCCAATCTTGAACATAAACCTCAGAAAAGAAAAAAATGTTAAAAGAATGAATTTCTATGTTGCTAAATAAATTATGTCAATAGCTGCCATTAGAAAAAAAAAAAAAAAATACTTGAACTAAATTCATACTCAAAGTTAACAAAGAATCTTCTGAAAAAAAGCTTGTAAATTGAGAAAACTATATGAATATTCTTTATGTTACTGTATTTTCATTTCAGGGGTAATATAATTGGATTACAATCCACCATATGAAGACATTTCAGCTGTAATTGTTAAAACTGCTTTTAATAAAAATCCTTGGCTCCTGTAAAAGTTTTTGATGGTTTGCCATTAAAGCTTATCCAAGGTGAAATATCATAAAAGCTTATAGGCAAAATTTGATTTTATGCTGCTTTGTTCTTTGTTGTACAGAATTGACCAAAAAAAAGGTAACATATTAAAGGAAAAAAAAAAAAAAAAAAAAAAAAAAGAATCTGCTAGTTCCATTTATTTCTATTGTTTCATTCATGTAACACATTAAGAAAAGTACAAGTCCCAGAACAAAATCAGCAATCTGCACACACTGTCATGATGTACTTTGCATATTAACATATGCAGATAAAACATTATCACTATAATGTTTTAAATTTGTAAGCATATAATTTTGATAAATTCCTGCTAGAATATTAATTAAAAGATAAACTATATTATCGGTTATTTTCTGAATATGTCGATGCAGAAAAGCATGTAAGAAAGTGCACATATTCAGAATACTACTCTTATAATACACATCATGGATACAGCTCATGCTTAAACAAACTTGATGAATTGGGGCCCAGGAGTTCTTTCCTACAACGCATTAAGTGCTGCTGTGTGGAATAGAACAGCTGGATCCTCTTCAACTTCAGCCTGCATGATGAAATCCTGAATTATGAACACCAGCCTTTTCAGTTAAAAGTTTTATTCCATCCAAAACAGTTAAATGCAGAATTTTAAAGTTCTTTAACTATTTAATAGGTGCTTTAACAAAAACAGGAGAAGGGAAAACACAGACTGATTTAAAGGTTGCCCATTAGTTTTCAGTTTGTTTGCATTACAACAGTCTAAGTAACTCAAGCCCAAATGGTTTGAAATACAACATTCCCAGGGTAATCATTAGAACTAAGGAAAAAGTAACAAACAGTGAGTACATTGTCCATTTATGTTTCCACTGACCCGAAGAAAAAGTTAAATGTTTCACTACTTCACGACTTAAGAAAATGTGATGACATATTAAAAAACAAAACAAAGCACTTGAAGAGTAAGAATCAATGCCTGCCATTGGAGCAAATCTTTTACTGAACTTTTAATGATATGTATAGATACCAAAAGAACACCACAATGCCAGAACAGCTGGTACTAGGATTTAAGCAAAATTAGAAAGGAAGGAGATTAAAGTAGAATAATTCACATACCTAAAAGCCTCAATGATATATGCACTAGCTGGTAGGCTTCCAGGGGTCCCTGGTTGCCAGGACAGGGTGACACTGTTCTTAGTAACATCAGTGACCTGAGGTTTGGATGGTGGCCCAGGGAGGTCATTTATGTCGTAACTTTTACTGACTGTTGCTCCACCCAACTCTGCAAGGAGCAAACGTAAAATAATTACTTTTTGTTGTCAATTAGATAGTCTGACCAAAGTAGGAGGTCAAAAGGAAAAGCATGCCAAATATCTGCATAATCAGCTTAATCAATGCTTTTAATTTGTTAAGAACTAACTCAACTACTCTGTTATCAGGTATATTTTTTTCTATGAAGAACTATCATTCTTTACATATGCATTATAGGAAAAAAAGACACAAAACTCAAAAGTCTGTATAAAAAGAAAAAAGAAAAAAGGAGTAACAAAAAAAAAAAAAAAAAAAAAAAAAACAACACATGCTTTGCTCATATTTACATAAAATAACAGAACATCAGCTACTAGAAGTCTGAGAAAATTCCTATATGCAGATCGGTTCCAGTGCTAGCAATGAAGTCTGAGAAACATAAAGAAATGAATCCTTCCCACTTAAAACTTTTCTTCACACTTAGAATTTCTAGAAGAGATTATTAGACTCATAAAGCTCTATTATATACTATACTTTCATTTTGTGCCATCTGAAAATGTCCTCTAGATATTGCTTACCTGTCACATCCAGAACAGCACTCCATGATGTCTCCCCACTTGAACTTGTTGCAACACAAGTGTAAGTTCCAGTATCAGACAGCTAGACATTAAGAACATTTAAAGGCAAGTTTTACCTTTCAGAATCATATGACAGAATTTTTTCTAATTTTTTTCCTATATATTTATTGAAAGGAAAAAGTTATTTTACACTTTATGTCTGCCTAGAAGGCACCAGACATTTAAAAATAATAATTTAATAGTGGCTTACTTTTAAAGGACTAAAATAAGATTATTTGTTTTTAATACTTTTCTAATTGTAATTTTCATACTCTTAATTGTATCAGTGAAGTATGTAAGTGCTACAGAACTAATGTTTCAGACAGTGTCAATCTTTTTATTTTTAAGACACCCTGTTGAAATCAGCAAACAATACAACAACAATTTTTCCTCAGAGGATGAAAACTCACAGTTCATTATCCTACAATGACGCAGATATTCTAGTCTCAGGAAGGCTATACCGTCATCTTATGGTTTTATGACAGATGAAACCATATTTATACAGGTCATCAACACATATCAACACATATGTACATTGTTTCTAAGATCTTAACAAGGGTTATCTCTACACACAATCCTCCAAGCAATTTTAAAATGGCACAGTTAAACCAGATCATATACCATGCTTACCCTTCTTCTGTAGCACATGAAATTTTTTCAGTCTTGCAAAGCTACTTTGCTACTTTGGTAGCTAAAGACCCTAAATTGTGATTCCTATGTCAGTTTGTATAGTCCAAATTTATTTTTGGAAAGACTTCTAAATTATCCCATCAATATAAAACTCATTATTGTTCTTATATTGTTTTACTGGAAAATTTGCCAGGGATTTTACTATTCCTTACTTTGATTTAAAGTAAGGATTTATATGACAAGAATTAGAGAAGACAACAGAAGTGGATGGAAATCTGTGACTTTGCAAAGCACAGAACATACAGAGTTGTCCTACCACTATGTATAAAGAATGGTAATCTGGATATTGAAGAAGAGGGAAAGTGCTGAGTCTAGTGATAAAGGAGAAGAATTACATTCACCATCAGATGACTTAATGAAGGTAGGAGTGCATTCAAAAAGGTTTATGGGACTTTAAGGGATTATACTTGGTAATCTGGAAAATACAGATTGGAACTATAACAAATGCTCATACCCAACTCTTTGAAAAGAATGTAAAAGCTAATTAGTGAGATGTTCTTTAGATTACTTGTTGACACATAATTTAATTAATTTTTAATTTTGTACTGTTTGAATTTTGTTGGCATTTTCTTCCAATAGATTGAGATTATGCCATTCTTAGGGGAAGAAAACAACCAGTTAATGACAGTTTATCAAAAAAAGCATAACTCGAATTTTGCCATGAAATACAAAGAATAATTAAACTCCTCTGACAGTGTCTCAGAGACTCAAAGTATAGAGATCATAGAATCATAGAATCATAGAATGGTTTGGGTTGGAAAGCATCTTTAAGGTCAATCTAGTTTCAACCTCCCTGCTATTGGAAGAGACATCTCCCATTAAACCAGATTGCTAACAGCCCCATCCAGCCTGGCATTGAATGCATCCAGGGAGAGTGCATCCACAACCTCACTGGGCAACCTGTTCCAGCATCTCACCACCCTCACCGTAAAGAATGTTCCTAATATCTAGTCTAAATCTATGCTCTTCTAGTTTAAAGACATTTCCTCTCATCCTGTCACTACTTGCCTTTATAAAAAGCCCCTCCTCAGCTTTCCTGCAGGCCCCCTTTTGGTATTGGAAGGACGTCATAAGGTCCCCAAGGAGCTTTCCTTCTCCAGGCTGAAGAGCCTCAACTCTCTCAGCATGTCCTCATTGATGAGGTACTCTAGGCCTCTACTCACCTTTGTGGCCCTCCTCTGGACCTGCTAACTAAATGAGAAAGATTCCTGAAAAGAGGCAGATTACCAGAGGAGGGAGCCTTATAGCATTCCAAAGTACTGTATTCTATTTTGCTTCTTCTGAGTTTTTGCGAAATCTATGATTCTTCATTATGTGATAATTGAGGATTCTCAACTTCATTTGTGTACCACCATGAAAGGTGGTGTGTGGCATATTCAATGAAGTATGTGGTATACAGAACAGACTAACTTGCAGAGGGCAAATTCAACATATAAAGCAAGCTGGAAGTATGGTGAATTATCTAACTTCCAGACTGCAGACAGATTAGATACATATTCTATTGATAATTCAATTATTTCTACTTTTTTTTTGTGTGTGTGTTTTAGTGGACAAAAAAAACAAACAAACAGGGAAGGTCAATGGAAAAGTGTTGCTATTCAGTATAATAGTTTTCTTCCTTATTTAAAGCAGACATTTAAATCTGGCATAGTACATTTTTACATATCAGAAGGAAGATTTTCACCAGTCTTGAACTGTCTAAAATGGTACTGAGTGACATATGCAGGTTTCTACTTATCCTCCAGGGTAACTGGATGATTGACTCATTATAAAAATCACTGGGTTTACATTAAAATGACTGTGGCTCTTGGTTCACTATGATTGCTACCGACTATTGAATAATTTGATTTTCATACATAAAGAGATTAGTTACATGGCAGAAGAGGATAGTCTCAAAGGATTAAATAGTAGAGGCTCATCTTTACCCATATCTTTATATCTTTCATATTGATTATCAATTGATAATGATTATTAATTGTGAGGGGAGGAGACAAGAGAGGACTAAGACTTGAAGATGAAGGTGATAAATTCTAAGTTATTTTGAAGGTTAGCATGTAAGTGTACTTAAGCTACTCTTGGGCATATTTGGGGGCTTTTTTTTTCCTTAGGAAGTGTTGACAGTTCTTGCTGTAGTACATCTGAAAGAAAAGTTAAATACTTTTGATTTATATCTATATTTAATTAAAAAAAAATTGTAACCTACAGGAGAAAATTGGTTTTTTTATAGAATTGTGTAGTTTTGGCTGGTAAGTTTGACTTGAGCATTGCACATTACTGTTATCAAGGGGTTTACAAGAAGTGTCCTTCTGAGCCTTTAAGGAAAATCAGTTACTAGTGGATGAGCCACTTATGGATCAATAAAAGCTTCATGTCTTTCAAAACCACACTCACTGCTAATACTGTTTCCTTCTCTCCTTGCAAGCAATTTTTTTCATTTCGTTTACAGACACTGTGCATCTATCAGCAAGATAAATGCGCTGGCACGATTCAGACCCTATTTTGTTATTTGTGTGGCTGCATGCAGACAGGTATCCCAGGAGCTTCTGCCTCATGGACACTCCACAGCAGCCCATCATCGATGCCTGAAAATTTGTTTGAAATCACTAAGCTTCCACCTTTAATTGCTGTTTTCTAACACTACTGGGGAATCTGGAGAATTCAAGCGCACTCTTTAATCCATCTCTACAGGAAAAATGCATTAACCTTCATGGCCTAAACCTGCCTTCAGCCCAGGGAGGAAGGATAAATTGTTTACTCAAGGAAAGCTAGTATAAATTTTTTAATAAATTCCATTTTGTTCCAAGGAGGTTAACAATTCATCTACGATCACTGATGAGATGGCACCAGAAAACAAAACTGCTGGTTTTACCTTGTCCCCAACAACTACATTTATAGAAATTTTTTTGGATGACAAATCTATGTTCAGAAATTTATGTTGATTAGATTAAAAGGCTGCTGAAATTATCTGTAAGTTCTTAACAAGTAAGGACATTACCTTAGTATTTTTCTAGACATACGCTTCTTCACATATACACAGAAAAATGCGATATCTAATTAAGCAGGTAAAAAAAATAAAAACCCAAAGAAAGTTTAGTGATACAGTGTTTATCAACAAAGTCTGGTGTTATGCTATCTAGAATACTGCAAGATTTCTTTGTACCTTCAAAATATAATATTATCGTATGTATCAAAATGAAAATATTTTGATAGGCACTTCATTTTGAATAGAAATCCTTCTGCATATGACTACATGTATGTTACGGTATGAATTGTCATCTCCCATCCATAGCCTTATGAAAAACCTGCAGCTAACATAACATCAGAATTCATCAGCACAACTCAAGACTGCCAAGACTCAGTGATGGAGAAAGAGCATGGCAAAAGTCTTGATGGACTCCAAAATCCCTTGCTAGCACACTGTCTCTCTGGAAAATAATGTTCAGGTGTTGAAAATGAATGACTCTAAGTTTTATTAGAGTCAAAAGACCAATGGCTTCAGGGTAAGACTATCTGAAAGATAACCAGGTCCTGTCATCTTACATGTCGACCCACCTGCCACTCATGCTTTATTGCAACATAAATAATTCTATTTTCAAAGGATTTCTAGTAGTAGTATCTGTTGTTAAGTCAGCTCTTCTTTTTTCCCTTTACTACCACAGTGACAAAGAACAAAATAATAAGATTTGTCCTTGGTGAATGTTGCATGGTAAAGGAGACAACTAAGTTAACTTTGAAGTCAAAAGACAGTAAGGTAGTAGAGCTGCCTAAGGCACACTACCAGGTTCATATTAGCCACATACTACTTGTAGCATTTGCTTTGTTATTGCTACTCACCCGCAGAGTTTTAATCTGAAGGGTCCCCTGATCCTGTATGGAAGTTCGAGGGTCTCTGCCCAGAAAAGTGAAGCCTTCTTTTAACCAGCTGATAACAGGAAGCGGGTCACCAGTAGCCTTGCACTTCAGCAGAGCTGTCCCGTCCACTGCCAGTGTCTGATTGATGGGCCCTTGGAGGATGATGGGTGGAGGTCTATCTGTCAAGACTGAACAGCGACACATATATTGGCATTCACGACTTTGACAATGTTGTGCTACATTTAGTCCTTTGCTTGATATTGTACCACTTTCAACAGATTGGCATATGTTAGCCTCAACAGGGCTATGAACATTATTTTTGCAAGACTCACAGACACATCTTAGTATTTGATCGGTATATTTGAAAGCAGTTTTTGTATGGGTTAATTTTGCTACTGTAAGATAACACTAACATATATAAAATTCTGCTAGCAAAGATCCTCAGGTCCCTTTGATTAAGACATAATGACAATAAAGACCTTAGAAAAGAACTACGCTGCATTTCTTATTTCATCCAATTTAGGAAAGCACTTACATTACATGTTTAAAAAAGCACATGATTAAATGTCAGATCAAGATGTTTTTAATGACTTATCAGATTTAAGGCCTAAAAGAGAAAATCTGTCCAAGTTCAAAGTGAAACACTATATGAATTCTAGCACAGGCACCAACCATATTCCTCATCCATTCACAACTTGTGAGTAGTCCATAGCAAAAATACCTAAGAGCGTTACAAAACATTCAGTGCAACTTAAATGATGACTCTTTCCAGTGGAAAATATTTCAGACTTAATCAAGCCATTTAACAGTGTGCTTATCAGTTCATCTCATCACCTTTTAAAGCAATGAACTCTGTTATTTTTTTCCTAATAATTTACATTTGCATGCTTGAAATGCTCCATAAGGGATTCTGTAACTAGTGAATTAGTGCATGTCTGCATACAAGCCTCATTCCATGGTCAGTGGGATATCTTAAAGATGAGGTAAAATGCTCACGTTTGCTTTTCTTGAAAGAATAATTTTTTCATAAATAATTATGCTGTTGAACATATTCTCACAGTCATCTGATAAGCAAAGTATAACTCCATGTCAATTAATAACATATTTACACAAAATGAATGTGAAATATTTGAATTGTAAAAGTAAAAAAATGTTATAAAATCTCTACAAGAGAATCCAGCACCCATTTTTATGTATTTACTTGCTACATTGCTGCTGTTTCTAATCTTTGAACAATCTCACAGTACTAAATATGATATTAAATATTGTAATAGACAGGATTAGCTCCTAGATGGTGTAAAAATCAGACTGCTTCTGCTTATGTCAATTGAGTTTTGATCTTTTATTCTGAGAATCTGGATCATTATATTCCACACACAATATCATACTCTAACAATGAAGTGAAAATAACCTATTTGAAGAAATATGCTTTCTATTGTATTTGAGCTGTTTGAGATGCAAACCTCTGGAACCTTCAGTAAATTCAAAGTATTTTCATTATACTGTTTAATAAACAGGAAGTGTTAAGGCTATTTTGGTGGCACAATTTGTAGTTATAATAATTGGTTATGAAATTCTAATGCCACAAAAATACTAACTACCGTTTAACTTTTTTATTTTTTTTTTTTTATTTTTTTTTTTAAACAAAAGATACAATGGATTGAATTATAGAAATTAGCAAGACTTGGAGTGTGAGTTTATCACATTTGTTGGAATTTAAACAAAAAATCTAATGTCAAATCAAATTTTTATTAGCCCAAGAACTTGGAAGCTATTTTGAAAATTCTAAAATATTACCAGCTGACATTAGAGATAGGACATGAAAAGATAGAATGTAATGCATTTTCATCTTGATATCCAAGTTTTGATCTCAATAAGGTTCCTCATGATCACACAGTTCAGTTGCTTAGTGAAACAAAAGTCCATTTCTCTGCTTACATGCACTCCAGCTCTCGGTATGCTGGCAGTGAATTCAAACTAAAATTTAAATTCAGTGTAGAACAGCAACTCCCAGTTTTCTAGCTAGTAAAAAATTAAGGAAAAAAACACCTTATTTTGCTAACTTTTCAATTGTTATTTCGTGCATCTAATTGCCTTTTATATATATAGCAACATAAGTATTTTCAAAACCTACAGCATTTCAGATACTGTAATTGGCATGTAATTACTATTTTTTTTTTTATTTTTTTTTTTACAGCTCAAATGAGGAACTCATAATCCTTTAAATAGCTTTGATCAATAATGTAATTGAAAGTCTCCTGGCCAGAAGGAATCTTCATTTTCAAGGGTGTTATGGGTGAAAGACCACTACAGGTTTCCATGACACTAAGGCTAAAGGTTAAATGAACACTTAGGGTTTCCACTGATCTGTGAACGACTATATTGTCTTCACAAGTCTGACTTGTAAATCTTCTCTAAAATGTGTGTATATGTACTTGCATTCCTACTACATAGGTGTCTCCCAACGTAAGGACACAGAACTCAGAGGTTTAGAAAGATATTGTAATAAGCATCCTTAAGAACAACAAAATAATGAAAAATGTCCACAAAACGGTTGGGCATTTTTTTAGTTTCTTTTACACTTTTGATTTTTTTTTTTTTTTTTACATTTTTTTTTCTCCTACTATGAAACATTTGTATCCATTCCACAAAACATTTCATATGACAAAATCATATTTGCAAAAAAACTTGAAGTAACCTCAAAATTAATTTCATTCAAAAACAACACCAAAGAACAGCAACAACAAAAAATGATCTTGAAAATATCTTCCAGCAGCCATATATTCACATGTTCTGGCAATTTAAAAAATACCAGATTGCTTTTTTGATAAAATGGAGCTTAAATTTTGAGCAGAGTATGAGAGGAAATGTTACTTGCTAATAAATAGTGTATTCCCTACAAATGCAATTTGAATCAACTAAAATTATGTGCAAATTTAGGTGGAATTTGGTTAAATTACAAAATGAAATTAAAAACAGAGAATAACAAAGGAAAATGAGACAAAGCTCACAAAATTCTTATGATGAACACTACTACGTTAGTGCAGAGTGCTCTCCTGAGAAGAGGGAATTACAGAATCATAGAATGACTTGGTTTGGAAAGGAACCCAAGAATCATCAAGCTCCAACCCCTCTGCTGCATGCAGGGCCACTAACCTCCCCATTTAACACTAGACCAGGCTACCCAGGGTCCCATCCAACCTGGCCTTGAACACCTCCAGGAAAGGGGCATCCATAACCTCTCCGGGCAGCCTTCATCATTCTCATAGTAAAGAACTTCCCTCTGACATACAACCTAGATCTTCCCTCCCTCAACTTAAAACCATTTCCCCTTGTCCCGCTCTTATCTACCCTTTTAAAGAGTTGACTCTCCTCCTGTTTGTAGGCTCCCTTTAGGTACTGAAAGGCTGCAATGAGGTCACCCCACAGCCTTCTTTTCTCCAGGCTGAACAAGTCCAGCTCCCTCAGCCTGTCTTCGCAGAGGAGGTGCTCCAGCCCTCTGATCATCTTTGTGGCCCTCCTTTGGACCCTCTCCAACAGCTCTCTATCCTTCTTGCATTGGGGGCTCCAGACCTGGATGCAGCACTCCAGATGGGGTCTCACAAGGGCAGAGTAGAGAGGGACAATCACCTCCCTGTCCCTGCTGGTCACCCCTCTTCTGATGGAGCCCAGGATACCATTTGCTCTCCAACCAGCAAGAGCACACTGCTGACTCACATTAAGTTTTCATACATCAAAAAGCAGAAAGGGAAAGCAGAGATCATTCCTTCCTCTACCTTTTTTTTTTTTTTTTTTTTTGCAGAAGCTTCACAAGAGGCTGTTTGGAACTGTCATATTTGCTATAAAATATTTAATATACATTTAATCAGAGAGAGGAATGAAGGTGACCAGATTTGCAGGTGGCTAAACTGTGAGTGATATCAATCACTCATTCCTATTTTCTTTTAAGAGACATAGCCCAGCATACTCAATAGACCTACAGTTAAAAAACTGCATTGCAGGCTGGGAAAAATGGCTTACATTTCTTTTCTGAATCATTGTTGAGCATCCTAAAACATTTCATTCTTATGTTGTCAGAGAAATCTACTGCAGGATGTTAAGCTTGATCCTCTATCCAGTACTCATCCCAAACAGCAGCTGTTGGATAAACTGTAGGCAAATCCTACAGCTGAGCAAACAGTGGTCAAATTTTCTATTAATATATATATAAATAATGTAAATTTAAATAAAGATAGGTAAGTAGAAATTGGAATTTTCTTCAAAATATTCTCTGCATGGCGGATAAATCTATGGAATAAATTAAAAATGTACTTTATTCTTATCATGAATACATACATAGTTCGAGAGAAGCGCTTGCTTTATTTGCATGATATGTCATTTCAAGACTCCAATCTGCATATTCGCTTCTTGAGTTTGAAAGGAGTGCTAAGATTTGATATTGCTTTTCCAGATGTGCATTAGACAGTAGATCATATTATAGCCTTTCAAGAAAATATAAGATTTGAATTTCAAATACACTAAGGGCTCTTAGCACCGTCCATAATCAGCAAAATTATCACTCAACTCAGCATATTTCATCACAGCTAGTAATCTCTTCTCATGTGAACACTTGAGTTAAAAATATTTCCAGTAAAGACTTGTAAGTGCAAAAATGTAACAACTGAAACACTGCTATATATGGTATAATTAAGCACTTGTTTTTCTGCACATGACATATGTTTTCATTCTGTATTGGAACTCCAATTGGATCTAAATTACCCTGGATCAAACAAAAATGTGTTCAAAATGAAAAAGATGGTTCGCCACTATTATTAAATCATTAACCAAACAGAAAAATTCTGGGCTATGAAGTAAAACTGGAATCCCCAGCCAAAAACTGGGACACTAATGCTTAAGTGTATAGCTAGCATGCACAGCATTTATCTTTTATCATATTTTTAAAATCAATAGATTTCTCTACTGATAAAGATCTCTAGCTTCCATAATTTCTGTTCAACATCAACTAAAGCAGATTAGTTAGACATTTATGGTTAACTTCCTAACTGAAAGCAATTAAAAAATATCTGTGAGCTAATGGTACATTCATGTATATAATCTCAGTTTCACAATGTTGTTTTGGCACTTTTCTCCTGACCTCACATGCCCTTTGACTCAAGGATGAAATGGTATTTCTATAAAGCAACCTTCCATTATTTTGTAATGATCACACTCATAGTAGGTTCTGGGAAGCATTTGAAGAACACAGGCCTTGTATTCCTTCAGCAGCAGAGCTCAGCAATGGAGAAAGCATGTCACATTAAATCAGAACTAATTGTGCTTGCATTTTAGCATGGACACCATTATGAGCTTTCTCTTGACTTTTTAAATGAACTAATGAAAATTCCAAACAGGTCAGGCAGGATTATTTTTTTTTTTTTTATCTCATACAAGAAATAGATAAAGATGGACCACAGGTCTTGGCTGTCAAAAGGAAGAATTTTCATCACTGATATCCTTGAACCTGATTTGATCCTCTCGGCCCATGTTGCAGTAAATCTGTACAGCATCAGCAGGTGCAACTATTAACAGCTCAATGCCCTTCTAGCCAATGTTTGTGTGTTCTATTTATTCCAATCACACTCATGGCACTGAATCAGGCAATGCTATGGACAGATATTAAAAAATACTGCCTTTCCATTAATTTTAAATGACCTTTTAATCTACATTTAAATTTGAATTGAATGAAAATGCATCATTTTGTCATAGATCATGACAGAAAGGACTTAAAGAGATTGCAGAGCGAAGGTTAGCCTTTAGTCTCCAGAAACTGCTTTAGCAAAAAGCAATATGCTTGTAAAGATGCAAGGATAAGGCAGAAATTATCTCCCCTTGTCATAAAAATATAGACAGCTTTAGGAAAACAAAGAAAAGGCATCAAATTAATGCTCAGACCTCTATAACATGTGCCTGAACCTCTCTACCTGTCATTTGTGATGAATATGCTCTTATGAAAAGTCAGATTATTCAGAATTAGACATCTTTTCAAACTTTCATGGTGCAGACAGGTCTCTAAGGGAACCATAAAAGTAGACCTCTGCATATAACAACAGTTTTAATGGCAAAAATTCATCAAAGTCTGTCAGGAGAAATTTAATGATTCTGTTAAGATAAGGAATAATGATGCAAGGGAATGCCATGGTCTCCTAGCGTAAGAGGAATTCTCTTGCTGTTAACATTAAAGGATGCAAACTGCCTTCTAGCCACAATAAGATGAAGAGGGGTATCAACAGGATTTCTGATGTATGTAAAGGGTTGATGTTTGTACACAGACCAAGGTAAACTTCAAGACACGATAAGATTCAAGCCCAAAATTCTGAAATTGAAAGCACCATCAGATCATGTAGTACTTTTCCTTTCTTGCCAACTCTACTCTGCCAGTGTATTTAAATAACTCTTTACACCTCTAACTGTACGGAGAAATTATTAGAACACAGCACTGAGGAAGTGAAGTACCTTTGTGCCTTTTTCAGATGTAAACTAAAAGGCTACATAACACTATACAGCTGTTCTATTTTGACAGTGCTCCAGTAAATTTAAGGCAACTGTGTTCATTTAAATTGAGCTAAGGATACTTCCAAAAAAGTTGCCTAACATAATACTGAAAGCTGGGACCAAAACAGGTATTAAGACTTGGTTATTTTTGCACCCCAGCCCATTACTTTAGTCAAAAAACTATTAATTCTTCATAATCTTTTTGCAATCCTATTTTAGCTCTAGAGAACTGAGCAGCTTCCCTCCTTTCCAACCATATTCTAAGTTGTTTTGTCCTTTGTTTGGACTATTAAGAATTGTGTGCAAAATGCAAACTAGATGTGAGTCTCTTTTTTATGCTGTAGAGAACTGTGCAGAGATCCTTGCAGTATGTTTTGTAGAAATTCACCTGTTTATTTTTATGAATTAAGTGATCTCTCTGCTTTTTTTTTTTTTTTTTTTAAACAACTTTTAAAATACTTCTGAAAGAAGGAAGAAAAGGAATTTTTATAGCTTACCATCAGTAACCTCCAGCTGAGCCTTTGCTAAAATGCTTCCAGCAACCGTCAGTGCTTGACAAATGTAGTAGCCTGCATCAGACCGCTGAATGTTGGTAATAGTGAGGTCTCCAGTTGGCGATACCGAGTATCTACTGTTGGGTTGGAGAGGCTGGTTTGGGAAGAGCAGATTCTGCAAAGATAATTCATCTTACATCAGTTCAAAATACAACAGCATCACTTTTTTTATCCGCTAAAGATATGTTGATTTTTTACTTAAAATCACAGAATCACAGAATCGCAGGGATTGGAAGGGACCTCCAGAGATCATCGAGTCCAATCCCTCTGCCAAAGCAGGTTCCCTACACCAGGTCGCACAAGTAGGTGTCCAGGCAGGTCTTGAATATCTCCA